ATTTTAATCTGCAAAAGCTACATTCTGTACATTATTATTTTCAAACTACATCATATATTTTTCTCTTCTCTGATAAAAAATATTCCTCATATTGTTTGTGTCAAGTATTTTATTTTTATCTATGCAATACTATATTCCTATTTTATAATAATTACTTTTATACAAATTCTTTTGAAAACTGTTCTTTATTGATTTGAATCATTTTCTTTATTTCTGAAAAATAAAACTTTGTTTGGGAATCCTTTTTTTGTTTCTGTACAAATTAACAAACATAAATACCTACCAGGCTTAATATCCAGCAACATTAAACAATTAAGTAGGGCCTATTGTTAGTAATGGTAAATTTTATACTAATTAATGTGATTCCTCCTGGCCACCTTGTTCTGAATACCTTCAACTGTGTCAATGTTGCTACAAACTCCAATAATTAAAACTGAAGTCATTTACTATGAAGTAAAACTTGGGTGTAATCTAAATCCACCCAGTTGCCGGGGGCAAGGTACCAAACATGATGTCCAGTAGAGGGTTAAGAAAGTATCATTATTAAATCACTATTAGACCCCTCCTGGCCTACGCCATTGCTTGTATGCATATGGACGTTATCGAATTTACTGTATTGCTTATAAGTCGAAAATGCGAAAAAGACACGTTTAACATTACTAGTTTGAAGAATAACATTCATGTTAGCCGAAACAGGTGTATTCTAAAGTTGTTTAAATTCATTTTATTGTTCATTGCGATTATGTTGTCGTAAAATATAGGCCTATTTTTTTAAAAAAAAAAGCATAACTAAAAAGTGTTTTAACGCATTTTCTTCTTAGAAAAGCCTCACATGCATGCTATCATTAACATTACGGCAAATCAAACCCTTGAAGAAGCCCCATCAACCATTCAATTATTACGATGGGCAACAAATAAAACGCCCGCATCAAGGTACAGTCCTTATGCTATCGACATTAGCTCAACCCCGACAACTAACATGTCCCAAAACCAAGAATTGAAATCTTGACCCATTATTCTGATTAATTAGTGGTTAAACATCTTTAGGCATCTGAAAACGTTAGTTTTTAATCTAGTATACTAAAAAAGGAACAACATAAAGCTTTATGCCGCCTTAAAAACCCAATCTCATTTTACACAAGGCGTCGATAGAGAAAGAATAAGGCTTTGAGTCAGAACAGGCAAGGGCTTAGATAACTGCCAAAATACCTAATCTGTAGACCTCACAAGTCTAGACGATATATTTGTGCCTCTGTTTTTAGACTTTCAGAACAAATGCACGTGATGTGGTCAGTAGGCACATAAAAGAGAAAAGTAGTTTTAATCTAGAGACTTCAAACATTTCTGAAGGACCGAATTTGAACTTGTAGGCCGTGGTGTCGATGCCAAAGTTTATCGTCGTCCGCAAAGATAAGCTACCGTTATATCATCTCTATGCCCATATTGTGACAGATATTTACAAATGTGTCTAATATAGGACAGAATACATAGCTACTCAACAGAGATAAGCGCAATCACTTGTCCACGACTTAAGAAACCACTGTACTGCAAAACCCACCTAAATGGAAAATGTCTTAGATCTGTGTTTTAATACAAATGTGTACCTCGTCGCGAGTTAGGACCTGTAGGTAGTCTGTTACTATTCTATATCTAAAAACAATAAAAAGATAACGTGAATTTTACTTGTTCAATTTCTTGGTTAACTGTATTTGTTAATATTGATTAACCTAAAAGGTTCAAATGTAACAAAGAAAATTGTGACTAAGTTTCCGGGTGCGGGTATGCGGACACTAGTTAAAGCTTTAACTAGTGTCTATTTATAGAAATGAAAGTATGTTTATCTGTTGGTCCTATATGAATTACTACATCTTTTTCATCGGATCGCCATAAAACTTTGTGAATAGAGTTTTTTTCCAGAAATCTATTCGGAGGGGGGGAGGGGAGCAGAGTCCCCCCACCCTCCGAAGAAAGTCTATCGACCCCCCCCCCCCCCACCCCCGAACGAAACGGAATTTATATAGAAAAAAATATATACTTTTAACAGTGTCCGCACGCCCCCCCCCCTCGGAAAGATTTCGCCAGGGCGGCGCCCTAGCAGGAAGCAGAGGCGTAGCAACCTATTCCGGCGCCCCGGGGCGAACTATCAATGTTGTGCCAACCCTATTCAAACGCTGGCAAAAAGGCGCCCATCCCTACATACACTCCCCTATATAAAATAATTGAGGATATCAGTCATGTATAAATCTGTTTTCTTAAATTTTTAAAAATTGTCTACTCCTTTTGGCGCCCAATTCGATCTGGGGTCTCTGACAGGAAGCAATGCAATTTTTCTCCATAAAAATAAAAGCCAGATGCAATTTGACACTGTTCGTACGAGAGTCATAAAATTTTGGGGAGATGGTGAAAAGGGTCTCGAGAAAGAAAAAAATTCTTAAGTGTGGCACCCTGGGAGGGTTCGATTTTTCTCATTATACGATTATGAGCTCAGAATCCAGAGGGGAATCCAGAGGGGCTATCTCATCAGTTGTGGTCATAGGTAATACTAGATTCAGCAGAGGCGTAGCGAGGGGGGCGAGGGTACATATGTCCCCGGGCGCCAACCATAGGGGGCGCCAAAATGGGTGGGAAAAATTTAAAAGCTCATTTCAGCTACAGTTTTGCATCATAAATATTTTAAAAATACGGGGGGACGGACGCCAAATTGAAAGTTTGTCCCCAGGCGCCAGGAATGGAGCTACGCCTCTGAAATTCAGTGATAAAACTACACCAGGTTCATCCGCTAGCTCCCCGGCGGTTGAGTGGCCCAGAGCGGCCAAGACCCACCTCGGGCGACACTACGGTTTAGATGGGCTACTATAAATGTTCACTAAGTAGAATAATGAGCGCCCACCAGCGCCCTGGCAGTTGGCGACAGCGAGCGCCCCGGGCTCTACCGAGAGTGCCTCTTTAAAGAGCACCCTACAATAGGGACACGGTGACACCCGACATTTTATAATTAAACCAAATTATGGGCGCCCCTGCGGAAGTATAACCAGTGGCTCCCTGGAGCGCCAAGGGACGCGTCTCTAACACATGGGCGGTCGCCAATGTATGTTCTACCTCACTATTACAGAGGTTGATTAACGTACACTCAAGGCTTTCATACAGTGAGCCTTGGTGCGTCTAGCCGGCAGTGTGGACAAACCCGCGCCCCAAAAACGAATATGTGGGTTTGTTTGTTTAAGCATTACCAAAGATTTCATTCGTTTGTCATTCAAATTTGAGAAGCTAATGCTAATACCCCTGTGGTGGTTTCTGCGAAAAAAAATCGATTTGGTGGCGCCCTGGCAGGGTTCCGTTTAGCTCCCCGGGTTTTACCGTGAGTACTATGGTACCTTTGTTCGTTTTAATAATTGCTAAACGCTATGAATATGATGGGCTACTATAATCGCTCACTATACCGAGTGAGGCGCCTTCCTACCTAGGCCCACCTACCTACATACCTAACTCCCTGCCTACGTACCTACCTATCTACTAAACTGTCTGCGCTGCTGCCTGCCTACCTACTTTCCTACCTACATTTATTCCTGCCAAACTGCTTTCCTTCCATCCCGCCTGTCTACCCACATCACATCCTACTTACACACACACATATCTTCGTATGTATATATGTAGTGCTCTACGACTATGTTTTTTACATTTTTGTTGTTACGTAGAACTATTCAGTATAAAGGAGTATCCTTTTTTTTTTTGACGTTGTAACTGCCGCTAAAATATTCTTTTTTGTATGAGTGCATAAAATAGTGTAGATTTATTAACAAAAGTAAATTTTAGTATGTATTTAAGTGTATATAATCATTTTCGTCAAGTCAATGTGTTCATAATCTTAAATTTAAAAACCCATGAAACTCGATAGCCAAAGATTTAGAATGAGAATAATTGCTATTTAACCAGAAACACCTATTCTAATTATTGTAATAATATTTTTTTAAATAAATATACACAGAGATAGATTGTTTTCTTATATAATTAATTTAAAAAGTCAACTGTATTTCATAACGAAAATTAACACAAAATACATTAGAATAGAAACTGTCAAGGGAGACTACTCTAATATTTGTATGAATAATAGTTTTTATTTAGAGTTTTTTTATTATTAGAAGAAAAGTTAATCATGTAGGTTCTATAAAAGATTACCTTGCATTTAAAAAAAAGATATTCGATAGGTTTAGAATGAGAAATAGTCAAAATTATTTATTATATTCATTAGTTGTTTTTTTTTAATAATATAGTACAAAGACCTGTTTTAATTATTTTTTAAAAATCTTATTTTAATTAATAAATTATAAATGAAGATCGAGGATCTATATTTTTAAATAGTTTAACTGTCCCTAAACAATTGTATCAATCGCTGAGAAATTAAGAATTAATAATTACGAATAACGCTTTCTTAATTAAACGAGTTGAATTATTTCCGTTTTGATAAACTCTCTCTCTCTCTTTATAACTACTAACGCTTTATCATTGAGTTTCTCGAGAGAAAAAAAACAAGAGAGCGGTAGTTATCATTAACTCTGTCATTGATAATTTCATTGAGTCTTTCATAGAAAATAGTGTTTGATCGGCTGGAATATATATATATATATATATATATATATATATATATATATATATATATATATATATATATATATATATATATATATATATATATATATATATATATTTATATATATATATATATATTGATGGGAAAAAAATGAAAAATGTGAACCCCACCCCCGCCCCTCACGAGACGATCCTGGCTACGCCACTGAATGGGTAGATCTAAAGTTAAAGTCCCATTTCGTGATATATGTGCGTGGTTTCTAATCAAAGAGGCTAAAATAACGTAGCTTAATCTAGGCTATAATTGCCATGTGTTTTGGCTTTATGTTTATTTTCATTTCGGAAAATTCCGTTATTTCTATTATTAGATTGTGATATGGATACCAATTCCCAATTTAATATGTTAACGTGATTTTTTTTTTCAGGAAAGTCATGTAACTAAAGGTAACTAAGTAAACAAGTCAATCCTACCTATAGGACATAACACTTAAAGTAAGTTTCATACTATAAGTTTAAAGATTTAAATTCCAATGTTGGATTAGTAGTTGGCTTTCATCTTATAATAATTTATTATAGAATTTGTGTAGTGACAATATTGTTCATTATTAAAAAGTGGTGGTTGGGAATTCCTATAAGTTACAATTTAAAAAATAACCGATGTAAATTGGATGACACCTCAGCAACGCGTTATGTGTTACGCTGGTTATAAAATACACGAGTGCAGATGTAAATTCCTTTGGATATAAATCCCTGATAGGGGCAGTTAAAAAGTCAGTTTGTCAGCAAATATTAGTTTTAAAGTCTTTTCATTTGTGTTTTAAAAAGTTAAGGATGATGTCGACCTTTTCACCAAGTGTTTCTTTCCCAAAGGCTACTGGTTGTTTATAAATGAGAGTTACTATGCCAACCTCCTCCATCTAGCAAATGACACCACTTCCGCATTTAATCACAAAATCAATGTTTTCGTAACGCCCCCCTCCCCTTCTGATTCCCCTTTAACCCTCCCTCAAACGAATGACTAAATTTTAAAGAAACTTATGGTATTTGGTTACTCTAAATTTTTAAATGAGAGAGCCATCCTTGTTGTTTTTTATACTCCTCTCTCTACGATGTAGCACATTGAATAAGAGTCAGGCGTGTGACGTCATTGTGGACGGCCACCCCTAATTTATTGTGTAATGGTGCCCCGCAGTCCACTTGCTAGAATAATTAATCTGGTTGTGAGTTAATGTAGGTGTATTTTTAAAATTGTAAACGATTTGGAACAAAGTGACGAGTAAGTTTTATATTTAAAATTCATTTCTGTTATGCAATGGTTGACCAGTCCCCGACCATTTATTTTGTTGATTCTTCATTTTAGTAATTCCTTCTTAATGAAGTCACCACCGTGTACGGCTGAAAATGTTGATTTAAAACCCGACCAGTAACTTGCTATGCCCCCCTCCCCCACCCCCAAAGCAGGTACCACCACGACACCACGCTCCACCCCCGTCAATCCCCCGAAATAAATAGAATGTGTGTGCAAGATGTATTTATATACTTCAACCAGTGTGCCCGTCCCCACACTCACACACACACATCAAGTTTGAGACATATGTAGTTGGAAAATTAAAACAAGATCGCAGATATATAATGATACTGTATATTATAGAGTATCATTATATATCTAAAGAAAATAGTTTATTTTCTTCTTCTTAGTGCATTATTATATATAAGCTTGTTATTAAAACGTTATTTATTATTTTTTTAAATATTTTTTTAGAATGGCTCATGAATATGGCGGAAATAAAAAACTATATCCTGGAGTTACAGGACCTTTAAGCCTTGCAGAGCCTAGATTACAAGATAATGAGTTAACAGAAAAGTTGGTTGAAGCCCTTAAACCACATAATGTGTTTGAAAGTGATGCTGAACTTAATCATAGGTAAAAGATTACTCACTTTTTAAATTTGGTAATAAATTGTATAAAAAATGTACAAATCTATTGGTATGTTAAACCTAACTAAATGTTGTTTTTTATTCATTTGATTAACTTCTAGGCTTGAAGTTTTGGCTAAGGTAAATGATCTTATGAGAGATTGGATAAAAGATGTCAGCAGGCAAAAGGTGAGAGCTGTGTTTTTACTTTCTCGTATACTTTCACACACACGCACACACACACACGCACACAAACACACACAAACTCACACATACTGACAGTGTTTCTTCCAGCCTTTTTTCCGGAGGGGGGGGGGGGGCACTTGAAATTTTCGCGGGGGGGGGGGGGGGAGGACACTGTTAAAAGTATATATTTTCTATATAAATTCCATTTCGTTCGGAGGTCGGTAGACTTTCTTTGCACTCCCCCCCCCCCCACCCCCCACAAACCATGTGTTAAGGAATGAAAGCAGACTTTTCATAATGCTTAGCAAAACGAATCGAGAAGCAGCAGAAAAGAAAGATATCAAACAGCCATACAATATCACTAAAAGACACAAAAAAGCTATGTACAATCAGTGTTTCTTCCAGACTTTTTTCTCCGGGGGGGCACTTGAAATTTTCGGGGGGGGGGGGGGGCAGACGACTTTCTTCGGGGGGGCGGACACTGTTAAAAGTATATATTTTCTATATAAATTATATAAATTTCATTTCGTTCGGGGGGGGGGGGGGCGGTAAAAAAATTTCGGGGGGGGGGGGGGGTCTTAGCCCCCCCCCCCCCCCCCCCCGAAGAGATGCCTGGAAGAAACTCTGTGTACAATATAATCAAGACAAACCACTTTCTTCTACAGATGTTCAGCTTGGAAGAAGTGCTGAACATACCCCCCCTCTCTAAATCCTTCTGATCTAACAACAGCTCATACTTTATACATTATGGAATATATAGTCCAAAAAGAAATGAAGACAGGCTAAGCTGCTTGCATAGACAATAGAGTCCTACAACCCATAGGCGTAGCGAGGAGGGGGGTACATATGTCCCCCCGGCGCCGACCCTAGGGGGCGGCAAAATGGGTTGAAAAAGATTAAAAGCTCATTTTAGCTGCAGTTCTGCATTATTAATATAAAAAAAATATATGGGGGGGGGGGAGCAAATTGAAAGCTTGTCCCCGGGTGCCGGGAAGGGTCGCTACGCCTCTGCTACAACCTGATATCTTAAAAGATGGTGTAAAATAGTTAACCAACTACAAAGACTGTTTAACAAAATGTAATCAACAGAAACTCACCCGCAGGATTAAAAAAAAGACCTATTGATACAAAAAAAAAAGAAATACGGGAAATGCGTAGGAGGCATCTTATTATCTGTATCAATCAAGATTTCGTTAAAATTCTATTCAGTTAAAGTTAAAGACGTATGCAACGAACACCGTATAAATGAACAGGCAAGATTTAGAAAATGACAATCGTCGGACCAAGTTCTGATAGTAGAATGATAAATGTGCTGAATGGTAGTCTCTCCTCTATCACATTCGGATATTTTTAAAATTTTACAATGAAACTACGAGGCACAAAGAAGTCGGATTTGAGTGGGGCTGGATAAAGACTGGGCCTGCAAATAAAACATCAAAACACAAAAATAATGAAAACTAACCACAAACCAAATGGAGGTGTAAAATTAGATAACTAGCATTCTGGATGGTGCGGGGGAAAAATAAGACAGCTGGGGAAAAAGAGAACGAGAGGCAGTAGACTGTGGAGAGTTATGTCAAAACGAATTGCGTCTCGCAATTTCCCCTAGTTGATACCTTTAATGTGGTTGTTTTTTCAGAACAATATTCCAGAAAACTTGGTAGATACTTTTGGAGGAAAAGTTTTTACCTTTGGTTCTTACCGTATGGGTGTACACACACAAGGTACTTTAAAATATCATTTCACTAGAGACAATGAAAAAGATTATCTCTTACAGCATTGTATAATCTCATAAGATAAGTTAGAATATTGGTATTTATGAATAAAACTTGTATTATATCTTATTTGTAGGTGCTGATATTGACACACTCTGTGTAGCACCTCGACATGTAGAGCGTTCAGACTTCTTTAAATCATTTTTTGAACTTCTTAAATCTCAACCTGAAGTTAAAGATTTACGGGTAAGTTATTTTTTGAGTAATTAAATGCTATTTTGAAGCTAGTCATTAAATACTTTTATTTATTTATTTATTTAGGTATAAAACTATTTTTAGATTGTAGCCACTCATTTCTCTTTACAGGCAGTTGAGGAAGCTTATGTCCCTGCTATCATAGTAGAGTTTGATGGTATTGAGGTAAGATGGGAGCAGGAAACTGCCCCCCCCCACCCCGTCAATTAAATGTAGAGTTTACTATGGTAGGACATCAACAGTCCACTGTGTAGTTCATGGACATGCATTTTGATAGGTGCGTGTACAAGCGGAAATCCAGCATTAATATCCTTTTTACGAACTGACAGATTCGTTTCAAAGTTGGCACGTGGGTCAAGACGGTCAAGACGTTAAGACAATGCAATCGTATGTTAAATTTGATTTAATTTGATCCCTTATTAATTATTAATTAATTAATTAACAATTTTACATTTTATAAGCTTTAATGTCAAGCTTTTATTTAACTTGCTTCCTTGTCCAGTCTGTCTGTCTGTAGATCGAAACGCTCTAGCGAAATTTCGGTCTCTTCTAACTGAAAATTGGCATTTGCGTCAAGACATAAAGACTACGCAACCTGACATTAAACATTAAATTTGACTTAATTGGATGACTAATTAATTTTTTATGAATTAATTAAAATTGTGTCAAATTATAGGCAGACTTATCCAACTATTCGTGCGTAATCATGTTCATTAGGTGCGCATTAGTTTTGAGTCATGCAACTCTTTTCTATCTACCTGTCTGTCTGTCTGTCTGTCTGTCTGTCTGTCTGTCTGTCGGTCTGTCTGTCTTTCTATCTGTTTGTCAGACAGGACATGACTTATCGACATTAGGGAATATTCGCAGATTCCACGGGTAGTCAATAAATACGGACCCAACGAAACACGACCGGACATTACAACCAGAAAGCACACGAGAGACGGTAGACTGGACTCTGGTTCTGGTGCGAATTATAAATCCAGACCAAGTTAGAAGTGTAAGCCCTGCTAGGGGGGGATACCTTAAAATCTATCTACCCTTCCCTAGGCTTATCTATTACTACTGTCCGGTTAGTGCAAGCCCGGCTAAACCCAGGCTGGTTAATAACCTAACCTTAGTCTAAATTAAAAACAAAAAAACTTTTAACAATTTAATAAAATTTATTTCATGGAACCAATCAAAATATTAAAAAAAGAATAGATAAAAACTGACACAAAACAGACCAAAACAAAACCAAACAAAACAGTTTATATACAACAAAACATTACGTTCGACCATTTGCTGGTGTTGCACCGACTTATGATGTCTAGGATGGTCCAGGCCCTGACACACAGAAACCTCCCTTCATCCATTCTCGACATCCAAAAGTCCACACCAAACAAAACACTACGTAAAACCACTACGTACAATACGTTACGTACAATACATTACGTAGAAAATACGTACACAACAAACTTTTTACACCAAACAAAACAATTCATATATAACAAAACACCCAGCCAAGTCGCACAAGCAACCTCACTGGAAGGGGGGGGGGAGAGAAAAAGAAAAGGAAAACATAAGAAAAATGCATGGTAATGGCAGATATATACATAAATATATACACAAGTTCAAAATGCTACCTACTACTTCTATCTAGCTAAAGCCTCGAGTAAAACTAATCCTTACTATACAATTCTAAAAGCAATTCTCAAAAACAACTAACCACTGTCTAAAGAAGAACTAGCAACTTAAAAATAACGTGTAAACAAATTCATTGTAGGACCAATCTTTCCCACACAAGGAGCAGCCCGAAGCCATTGGTCTACCTAAACAACATCCATATTGATAACATTAAAGTTAACACACTCCGCTAAGGCCCCAATGAAGGCAGACACAAAGCAAGCGATACTCAACATGACGTTGCACGAAACAGCACACACATTAATTTTAAACAACCTAAAACTCGAGGCAACTAAAATATGCTAATCTAATTACTGTCTAAAACAACCGACTATTGACTAAGCCAATCCTAGTCAATAACAACACATCATAAAACAATCAAGTAAATGCACACACGCATTCACACTAGTTTAGGAAACACTCCTAAACACACTGGCCTAAACCACGTGGTCCGAAACACACGCCACGAGTTTAGAAAACACCAAAAACACTTTTTAAAAAAATAACAAAATAACACACCACGTGCATACCAGACATGCCGATGCTCACTATCTCGTTTTAGACGAAAATGAAAGAAAACGAGAAACATCGGCAGTCTCATTCATACGAATCACATAAAGATAAAGTAAAAAAAAAGCAAATACCTCCACGCGTGAGGTGCGCCACGCGCCCACACAGAAACCTGACCCGACCTACATCTCGCCGCGGGTCAAAAAAGGAAGAAAATCCTCCGAGCGGTCAATTTATACTGACCGCTTCTGACGGAAGGGGGACCCCGTGGCTGTTCCCCATTGGACCACCATGCACTCCCAGATTCGCAACAAATAAAATAATACAAAATAATCCATTCACCCGCTCACAGAAGGAACCAGAACGGACGTGTTTTCTGTGACTGGACTTTGGGACTTTGGAGGTCTGTTGGGTTTTTAGTTTTTGTTTTTTATTTGGTTTTGTTGGTATTGTTACTACCACAATAAAGAGATCGAACCTACCATCGTGTAGAGGACATCAGTGTTCCTTCATTGGTTTCATATATATATAAATATATAAATAAATAAATAAATTCTAATATATATATATATATATATATATATATATATATATATATATATATATATATATATATATATATATATATATATATATATGTAAATATAAATGCCATATGCACTTGTGTATGTGCATATGCATGTGTATATGTATTTAAATGTATCTTTTTATGTATTTAAATGTTTTTGAAGCTCTTCATTTTAGGACTGAACTTTCTCTTATTTACTTTCTCGTATATACGAAGTATAGAGAAAGTCTTATAATCATGCAAAAAAAATCGAGATTTTTACAAATCTCGACGTTTTACACCTCCCTGAGTCGGAAAAATTTATTTTTGCAATCTTGTCCGTATGTCTGTGTGTGTGTGTGTCTGTGTGTGTGTGTCTCTCTCTGTGTGTGTGTGTGTGTGTGTGTGTGTGTGTGTGTGTGTGTGTGTGTGTGTGTGTGTGTGTATAAACACGATAACTTGAGTACCATTAAAGTTAGGTTGATGAAATTTCATATATAAGTACTTTATCAAAATCGTAGATCCGTATCAACTTTTGAGTGATTTCCGGTAACCGAAAGTGGTACTTTTTTCACTTTGAATTTTGCAAAAGCCTATAACTTGAGTACTATTTCAGATAGATAAATGAAATTTCACACGTAAGTAAAAGATCTAATTATCTACCTTCTGTCAAATTTTGAGTAATTTCCGTTGAGCGGAAGTTGTAATTTACGCTATTTTAATAATAATAATTATTGTATCAATACATATTACCATTTTTATCCTATTCCACCCTCCTCGTAAACTTATAACTATCTTTAGTTAACTGTGGTGGGGGAGGTAATGTCCTACTGGGCGGTGGAGGTGTGTAATGATCCATGGGGAGGGTAATTGTTCCGTGTTATATTGGGATAACCAGGGGCCAGTGCCGGGGGTGTCGGTTCACGTCCCAGATCCAGGTATTTTAATTATGTTTTTAATCTATAAGTTGCTTGTTACCTTTTTGGGGAAACAGTAACTCAATTGTGTTGCTCGCACAATATTGAGTTGAATTGTAATCATACTTTTTAAAATAATGTTTCAGCTTGATATGGTCTTTGCCCGTCTTGCTTTACCCACCATCCCAGAAGACATCAACCTCAGAGATGAAGCTCTGTTGAAAAACTTAGATGAGAAAAGTGTCCGCAGTCTTAATGGTATTAGAGTGACAGATGAAATTTTGCATCTTGTTCCAAATCAAGAAAATTTTCGAATGACACTACGTGCTATTAAGTTGTGGGCTAAAAGTAGGTAGCTTTTTTTTGTAATTAGGATGTTTTTAACTTAAATTTTATGCATCTGTTTATGTAGTGAAAAAAAACAAAGCTACCATTATTTTCCATGATAGCGACCTATCTTGACTGAGTTGAGTGATAACTTGTATACTTAATTAATGTTAGCAGTCACTTACATTATTTGCCACTCTACCATATTGATATAATAGTGGTTTTTTTTTATTATTAACATAGGAATAATTTTTTTTCAGAGAAAGGGATTTATTCTAATGCTCTGGGTTACCTAGGTGGTGTATCGTGGGCCATGCTTGTTGCTAGAGTTTGCCAGTTATACCCCAAGGCTGCCCCGGCAACCATTGTCCACAGATTTTTCCTTGTTTTTTCAAAATGGTAATTATTTCAATTACTAAGAACAACTCTAATATTATGTAACATAGGTGGTGCACACTTATTCAATAATTTCTGCTTCTGTTTTTTTTTAAAATAGGGATTGGCCGTCTCCTGTGTTATTGAAACCACTAGATACAGAAAACAAACTTGGCTTTACTGTATGGGACTCTAGGGTAAGGATATATTTTAAAATGTTTTGTATTCAAACTACTCAGAAACAAATTGTTTATGGTTCAAAATGTGTGCTTGCTTACATAGCTCATAAAATATGGCTCTTTACAGTTGAAGACTTATATTTTTACATATAACTAAACTAATAATATAAGGAATAAGTGAAATTTTTTAAAAAAAGAGTGCAACTAGATCAGTACTTTAAGTTAGTTTAATGTAAAAAAAAATGAATGGACACGAGCGAGAAAACTCTCAAAGGTATTTGAGAGGTGTATAAATTCATTTAAAAATCATGCACAGCGTAGTTACAATTAATATGGTTATAAAATCCTGTCTATCTGGTTTTTTTCGGACTTTACTAAAGATTGGATGTATTTGATGTTTATAATATTTTCGGTAACTAAATAAAAATTAAAAAAAAAGCAAAAACAATTTGGTTTTCACGTGTAATGGCGACATAAACAATGGCATCCTGCTATTGGATAGGCCGCCATTGATTTTATTGTACACATTGTAAGCTAAAAATAGAAAACTAGGTCATGGGGTTTTAAATTTGCATTGTAATTTAAAAACTTGATCTGCAAAGTTTTGTAAACAAATAGTTATCGATTACTAAGTTACTGTACAGCCAATCAATATTTGTCTTACGAAAGTGAAACATCCGGTTATAACTTAGGCTTGATGAAAATAAATAGAAATGTAGCCTTAAACTCAACAAATTATTTTCAAGTTCTCTGGATTTGCAACTTTTATAGCATTTATTCTAAAAATATAAAATTTCTAAATTAATTTTAGGCCTAAGTTTTTATTTTTTATTTTTTTTTACGGTCTAAATCTAAAAAGCACGTTTTTATTCCATGTCAACAACATTGGGGACGGAATCTCGTCAACTCGCTCGCCTCCATTGCCACTTTTAAAAAAAAATATTTAAAGTTGTTTATAAGGTAAACATTGAATTGCAATTAGGCAAGTCTTCATTGTTATTTTAGAGTAACTTACACTTTTTTGTTAGATTATTAGCTCTATTAAACAATTAATTAGTTAATTAATGATGTGAGACTGCTTTAACTGCGATAAAACATTGAGCTGTCCGAAAAAAAAAGTCCTATTTTTTTCCTGGTCTGGTCACATCCCTTATTATGATTTTGGCAGCCAGATTACACTTTGCTTTCTGTAAAACAAAATTATCAGTTGTAGTTAATAATTGTGTTTCTAATTCCTGTGTCAACTATTAGTTCTTGGTCTGAGTTTATATTTCATCATCTTTTCCTGTTCATGCCCAAGACACATGGGGCAGAGGAAGTAGAGTTAAATATGTTTTAGAGACCTCAGCATATGATTATGAAGGGATAGTGTGGTCAGCACTATGCCCAGCAGCATTTGTTTATCCTAAAATGAGTTATGTATCCATAAGAGCTGGGTGGACTCAGGGACATTCAACTAACTTAATTAAACCCGGATTTAAACTCGAGACGTTTGGAATAGCAGTCTAGCTCTCTACCGCTAGGCCACGCCGACCTTTTAGATTATATTTAATGATATGGAAGGTCATGCCTTTTTTTAACTGAAAAAAATATGTTCGGGGGTTGGCTGCACTGAAAGAATTAAACTTTTTATTATGTTTAAAAAAAAATAACAATTTTCTTATATATTTTTTTAACAGATAAATGCTTCTGACAGATTCCATCTGATGCCCGTTATCACTCCTGCATACCCTCAACAGAATTCAACAAAGAATGTCTCACAATCCACTCGCACTATCATTATGGATGAATTTTCTGAGGGTAATATAAAAACTAAGCAAAGAATAAAAGTTCATTTTATTTCATTGTCAATGAATTTTTCCACAAAACAAATTGGCTTTAATTTTTTTTTCTTATCAATTCAGCTAATTTTTCAAATAAAATCTTTACTTAAATTTAGGGTTGAATGTAGTAACACATATTTATGAAGGAAGAGAGGAATGGAGCAGATTGTTCGAGCGGTCAGATTTTTTCCACAAGTATAAGTAAGTTCCACATTTTAATTAATAAATGTATTTAATAAGCATCTGTGGTTTAAAATTCATAATTAATTTTGATTTTACAAAAGAGTTTTAGAATCTAATTTGTATTATTCATTTTTCTGTTATTAGACACTATATTGTAGTTAAAGCCAGTGCTGAAGAAGAGGACCATTATTTAGAGTGGTAAGCTACATTTTGATAAATCTTTATTTACAACGAGCTGACCCGCGGCATATCATACGTATCATATTTAGTTGTTTTATTTTCTACTTTTCAGTCATTCATAATGTGTGAATTCGACAGTATTAACGCTGCCACTGAAAATATTTGCTTTAAAACACTATCAGTAGGCCGTTAAGGACGAAACCCCCCACCCTCCTTTCCCCCAACCTCAACCCCTACCCTACACCCCCCCACCCCACCCCCTTGAAAGCAGCCTCCTCTTAGTTTTAAATAGTTTCAAACTAAATTATCTGCCCTTAATAGGGTCACTAAACCCGGCTCTATGATTGTAAACATTTAGCATGAACCACAGCTCACCAGACCATGTGGGGGTGGGGGAGGTTGCGATATGCCTAGAGAGGAAGAGAGGGGACTGCTAGGCGTGCATACAGCTTGTTTTCTAACGTCTCCAAGAAGAGAATTATAAATATAGATTGAAATTGGTCTTGGTAGGGGAGATAACATGTGGAACTTAATATCCTAAAGGATAATTTATTGACCATGTTTAAAAAATCTTGGTAACGTCATGAACAAAGATCATTCATAGGTTAATATAGTAGGATCTAGTTTTGATTATTAAATTATCATTTTCAAATTTAGAAAAAAAAAAGAAATAAGGAAATAGAATACTGTGATTTTTAGTTGAAAATTTAAGATTTGAGTTATTTTCAAATTGCAGTTTAGTGTTCCTGTTAACACTGAAGAATTTGAAACCATGATACCTTTATTTCTTTTTTAATCGGGCATTTTCCAATATTAGCTTCTTTATATTTTAATACAGGAAAGGCTATGTGGAGTCCAAAATACGTCTTTTGGTTGGCAATCTAGAGAGGAATCCTAATATCAAACTTGCACATATTATGCCAACATCTTATGGTCCCATAAATGAGAGGTCAGTATTAATAGTTCAATGACGGGTGAAGTTTAATATTTGGATAAAGTAAACACAGAAATATAACTTTTAATGTTTTATATTAACAGTGAAGGTCAGTATATGTGCAAATGGTTTATTGGGCTGGTGTTTGGTCTTGTAAATCAGGGACCACAACCAGGTGCAAATGTCGACCTCACCTATGATATACAGTCATTCTCAGATGTTGGTGAGTACATAAGTACAGTTTTAAAAGATGTAGTTTGCTTGTCTGTATGTTATAACAATATATTAACATCTTTGTAATTTGAATATAAAACTGGCTTGTTCTAAAATAATTGTTCTGTATATTATAGTATATATTAGATTATAATTAGTAATTAAAATTTATTTCCACCAGTACATAAACAAGCCACCCATATAAATTTGTACAAAGAAGGTATGAAAGTGGAAATTCAGTATGTTAGAAAGTATGTGATCCTTTTTTATTTGTTTAATATTAAATACTTAATACTTTAGTTAGCAACGCTTATTAAAACAAACAATGAAATGAATATCCTAGCAGTTTAATTGTGCTTTGATATTATTTTTTTCTTTCAGAAAACATTTATGTCAGTTTGTATCACCAGTTATATTAAATCAAACTAAAAGGAAAAGAGTAAGCAGATTTTTTGCTCATGAATGCTTAAACATTTATATTGAATGAAAATAAATGCAGAAAAATACTGAAATTAACTACTTCCCCTGACTTCTCAAATTCTATATTGTTACACGATCTTTATCTTTCGATTTCCAGCAAGACAGTTTTAAAAGTTCATCTGGAAACACAAGACGTACCAGTTTAGACAGAGGTCCAGGGGGTTCTTCATCTACTACATCAGCATCAGGTGGAAAGGCAGATCATGATTCAGAACTTTCTAAAGCTATTGCTGCTGCTGAAGAAGATGATACTTCACAAGAATCAAGTTCTGATCAAGAAAGCATGCAGTGGAACTCAGAGGAAACACCCAATAGTGGTGGAACTGTTAGTACTTTTGAGGATGAATCAGAAAACCATGAGGTAAAAATTAGTTTGCTGTATTTCTCTCAACGCTCTATTTTGTAATTTATTTTATAAGCCTGCTTTAACTTTCGGGTGGAGTGGACTTGCTATGAAACAATATTTCAATTAAAACAGTATTGATGAAGTAGCACGTTTTCATCATCCTCATCCCTTAACCCCTTATTGGGGTTATTTCTTCCAGACTTTTTTCTCCCTGGGGACACTTAAAATTTTCGGGGGGGTGGGGGGCGGACATTGTTAAAAGTATATATTTTCTATATAAATTCCATTTCGTTCAGGAAGGGGGGGGGAAGGCGGTAGACTTTCTTTGCCCCTCCCCCCCCCCCAAAAAAAAAAGATGACTGGGAAAAACGTTGTTGGGGTCGTTTGGTGCACCACGGCTGACCGTAAACTTCTTTGCCATCCATCTCGGTCCAATGCCACTCTGATTAGTTCTGAAACAGGTAGCCCTGTCCAAACAGTTCTTGATGTCATTCGTCCAGCAGGGAGGTGGTGTGGTCAAGTCGGTTGCTGAATCGATTAATCCCGAGTTCGAACCCCCAAGCAGATGGGACTCAATAGCTGAAGACAGCCACTTATCTAGGAAAGACAACTCCAAAGTCAAAGAACTGCTGCCTTGTAGTTTGTTCTTGGTCTGAGTTTCTTCCAGGCATCTCTACCGTCTCCCCGAATTAAAAAAAATTAAATAGTAATATACTTTTACTAGTGTGCCCCCCCCCCCCCAAAATGTTGACCGCCCGTTATTCTGGATCACCGATGCAGGTGGATGAAAAACAAACGGACACATCAACATCATCCTTTTCAGATTTATCCAGTCCATAATCTATTGATGGAACAGGATTACTCCCACCCTTGAAATAATATGATTTTCTTTTTAAGGGAAGTCCATCATCCCAGGACAGTGCACAGGACGCTGCATCCAAAAGACCAGGCTCACCTTTTCAGAATGACACACCACCAAAAAAACCAAAAGATTTAGAACAGCAGGTTTGTTAACACTTTCAACCTCGACCTACTTTTTTATCCTTGATACCTTCCACCACACATATTATTTTACGATTTTTTTATGTACAGAAACCTTGAAGGGTTAACAAAGTATTATTTAATTCAAACTGAGTAAAACATGTAGAGAATGTATTAACTGAATGGTAATTAGTAACAATTTTACGAGAGAAAAAATGTTATTGCTGTTTGGATTCTATAAGACTAGCAGTGCGCTGTGTATCTAGTCTGTCTGATTCAGGTTGTAAATATTTACACCTAGATTTAAAGCAGTCATATTCCAGATATTATGGGATGGTTGTAGAGCACTCAATCGCTAACCCGAAAGCTTGAATAGGAAGACAACATTGTTAAAAGTATATATTTTCTATATAAATTCCATTTCGTTCAGGAAAGGGGGGGGGCGGTAGACTTTCTTTGCCCCCCCCCCCCCCCCCCCCCCAAAAAAGATGACTGGGAAAAACGTTGTTGGGGTCGTTTGGTGCACCACGGCTGACCGTAAACTTCTTTGCCATCCATCTCGGTCCAATGCCACTCTGATTAGTTCTGAAACAGGTAGCCCTGTCCAAACAGTTCTTGATGTCATTCGTCCAGCAGGGAGGTGGTGTGGTCAAGTCGGTTGTTCAATCGATTAATCCCGAGTTCGAACCCCCAAGCAGATGGGACTCAATAGCTGAAGACAGCCACTTATCTAGGAAAGACAACTCCAAAGTCAAAGAACTGCTGCCTTGTAGTTTGTTCTTGGTCTGAGTTTCTTCCAGGCATCTCTACCATCTCCCTGAATTAAAAAAATTTAAATAGTAATATACTTTTACTAGTGTGCCTCCCCCCCCCCCCCCCCAAAAATGTTGACCGCCCGTTATTCTGGATCACTGATGCAGGTGGATGAAAAACAAACGGACACATCAACATCATCCTATTCATCGCTGACATCAAAGGACGAATTTTCAGATTTGTCCAATCCATAATCTATTGATGGAACAGGATTTCTCCCACCCTTGAAAAATTCAATTAAACTGAAGCTTAAGTGACACTAGACTTAAAAAACAAATTCATGCTTGTGATTTTTTTTCCAACAAGAAATGAAATTTAAGCAACCATTGATGGTTTTTAGTTCTTATTAGCGGTCAACCGTTAAAAAAGGTAATAAAATTGTAAGACATATTCAACTATAAAAATCCAAATGATGTATTTTCCATTTATCTTTAGGGTGTTGATGATATAGACCGACAACTCTTCAAAGTAAAACTGGCGCAACTAACGTGATAAACAGCTCAAATTGCTTTATAATATCATGGAAACTCTGACTTTTATTACCTTTTTTTTACTAATAGATAGATAGATACACATTCTAATATTCCTGGGTATATAGTTGTTTGACAGTTATTAAATTTAGTACCATCTTGACTAATTGTATAGTTCAGAACCAGCATGGGTACAGTTATTGGTAAGGATATTTAGGAATAAATTAAAATTACTTTGGGTACAAATTAATCTGCTGAATTTCTCTTAACCCTTTATTTCTTTTTTTAATTAATTTTTAGTTTACATTTGGGATTATTTATAGGAGAATGTAAGTGAGTCAATATCTATTACCTCTGTAAAGTTTACATATAGTTTAGCTTACATCAACTTATCATTCCTTGTAGGGCACTTATAAAAGCTACTGAAGCATCAGTTTAAAACAAATCTTTGGGAAAAAAAATTTTTAAACAATTTTTTTAATACATTTGAAAATACTTTGGCCCAAACCCTCATTGAAACATTTTTAAAAAATATAAATCTGAATATCCACTAGTCTAAACCCTCATTGGCTGAAATCTAACTGCTGGCTAATTAAATTTTTATCACAAGGGTGCGGGGGGGGGGGGGGGGGGTTGCTTTGATAATGCCCATTTGTAAGACAGTTAACTTTATTTCAACTGAAGCATAAGAGATAATTGCTTTTCATTTCATCCAAAAGAAAATACTGCTTTAAAATTTAAAACTTTTTTTAGAAATGTTTTAGTGCATATGACCTAACAGTAACATCTGGTTGTCATATAATAGTTTTCTGGTCGGTTTCACACCTTCTGCCTGTTACAATATTTCTTCAAGCAATTAAAGAAAAGCATCTATCACAACTGTACATAACTGTAACAATCAGAAATGAAAATTGGCTAATAGCTTATTTTATTGGAAACATGAACTCTACTTCATCTGCCCAATGGATTGCTAGGTCTAAAGAGGATTTTTTTTTACTTTTCTCTATTGGGTTGTTTTCAAGTTTTAAAACTGCTGTTTAAAATATCTTGAAGTATGAAGTACTTGTTCTATTGGTTAAGCTACATTGTATAATGGGGGGAGAGGGAATGTATTTGGAGAGGCACCTGGTAAGTGTTATAAATATATAACATTTTTTATTGTGTTTAAAAAAAAACTGATCAAGATCAACTTAAAAATGTTACAATTTTTATTTTATTTATTTTCACTTTGTATTATTATAACTTCCTACAATTTTAATTATAATCTTGTGGCTGCTTTTGCTTTATGTGTTGTTTACTTAACTGATGTTTTCTGTGCGCCCATGTTTTAAATAGCCAGATAACAGTGTTAATCATAACTATGCAGTTACTTTGGGTGAAATGTTAAAAAAAAATTATTTTGTTGTTAAATGACACATTTAAAAGAGTAACTAAATAAATTCTTAATTTATTACAAATATTGCTGGGATATATTTTTTAATTGAACTGAAGGCCTTTTTCCACCTTCAATCAGTGATTAACCAATTTTTAAAAGTAACTGATTTTTATATTTATTAATTACAAATATTGCTGTGATACATAGTTATATAGTTCTTTAGGAAATAAGTTTTAATTATTTTTTTCTTTTTGTGATCTAAAATATAATGTATTTTTCTAATTAATGTAAATATTTTTCAATTGTAAATAGAAATAAATGTTGCCTTTTTCATACTTAACTCTAAATATATTTTTTTTATGTTATAACAATTTTTATCAATTTATAGACATATTTACTTTTATATAGATAGACTTATATATACATTTTTCATTAAGTTACTGTTATCAAAACTTATATATATTTTTGTATATATAAGGCTAACATTGTTTTAATTAAATTAAAAAATAGACCTACAATTGTCTCTTAATTAAGTAGTAAGACTAAGCATTTTTCATAAGAAATCTTAGCTAGAATCATTATATTTTAATTCACCAGTATAATTTTATGAAAAACTTGCAACTAACATTAACTAATTATCATACAAATTAATGGCTGTCAAAGTCTCATACAATAAAAGGCTTAGTTCGGTGTACCTTGCTAAGGAGAACAACCAATGAATTACAGAAAATAGATCAAGCAAAGAAGAGCTACAGGGAAACAAATAATAATACAATTATTGCTTCCAGCTTATAAACTGATATTATTAAGATACACCAGTTTTAATAGTACTTTTGAATCAACGGTTCTCAAATTAAATGAAGTTTTTGTTTAGTGTGTCATTACATGTTGTGACATCATAATCAAAACTCTTCACCAAATAGGTTAAGGGCATCTGATAGAGGATTCTAATGTTTTTATAAAAATTACAATAAAATGTTTTTCCAGATTTTAACATGTTTCTTTTTCTATTTTATGTCTCTTTCCAACTCGATTTGCTGGTAGTAGTTAAATAATTATCTTTTTTAGCCACCTTTAACTTACATAATATAAAGTTTAAGGTATGTTTAAATACAACTAACTCTTGACTTTTAAAATTAATTATGACATTTATTAACATTACACAAGCTTTATGGAAGCGCATTACAAGATTCATCCAATATGGATCATAAATAACAATTATCATATTAATACAATAAGACAATTGCAAGGAAATCAGTTGCTGACTAGCAATAGGGGATAATTAAAATTGTAAACAATGTTTAAAAAATAATTACATTAAAAAATAGTCATGAACATGAATAAAAAAACAAAACAAAAAAACAGTTAAAAGTAACAACCAGCAAGATCACAGTAGACACTTTGTGTCTGTCCATATTATCTGCTTATAAGGCTGGACCAAAAGAGACATAATTGGAATATGTTATTGGTGTGACTACTGTGAATGACAGAAAATTTTAAACATCTTCTAAGATATACAGCTTTAGCTTCAAAATTAATTTTTTTTTTAAAATGGAATATCCTAGACTTTAATTGTCAGCATTGAAACTTAGATATATATACTTCTACTTGTATACTGCTAATATTTGTATAAGTAGATAAACTAGTTAGAATTTTAAGGCAATGTTAACAAACACTATTTGATTTAATAATTCATTAGGTTTTCTTTAAAAATTAAAAAAAAAGCACTAAGCAAAACATAATACACTTTTTTTTTACACTAACAACTGACATGATTTTTAAAATATAAAATCTCTATAGACATAACTATGATCATAGTTATGTTCTTACACAGTTTATTAGTCATGAAAAAAATTAGTTGATTCTTCTTTGCCTGAGTTCATTAACAAAGTCCATTCCATCATCCCCTGGTTCAAGATGAAAATCTGCTGGTTCTTGTATCAATGGTAAATCATTTTTATCATCATCTTGCTCTGGCTGATCTGTAACAATAGTTTGAAAAAAATGTATTAAGCTAATTGAGGCTTTAAAGATAACCAGTTAGCTAAACTTTGGCTGTGTCTTGGAATATTTTTTTTAACCATCATCTGTTTAATTTTGTTTTTTGACTATATTTTAGTTCCTTTTTAATGGTTTAATTTTTGCAAATGTCTGAATACTGCTAATATAGTTTAAGCAATCAAGTCATAGTGTTTGTGCAGTTAATTTTTTCAGTTTTCTTGATTTTATACTGTGTATATAAAAAGCAGAAGATGTTGACATTATAAAATCCTGTTAATGTTCCACTATAATATATGGCATTACATAAAAAGAAAAAAATAATTTTCAATCAAAAACATGTAAACAAGTATCAATTAACTGAAGATCTCTATCTCACAGAACAAACAAGTTTAAAATACACACAAAATATAATCTAAACTTGATTTGGACAAAGAGACAAAATTAATTTAACAACCAGCAACAAAAAAGTGGCTACACATTTTAATGGCCCTGTCTATATTGAGGAGAGGCAGAGTCTACATTTTAGAACTCAATTAAAATATTGCCTTTTTCCCATAACACATGCCAATTGTACCCTGTGTAAATATTCAATAAACTAAATAGCTCTAAAAAAGTATTCTTCCAAAATTTCTAGAATGAAAAGTTGTTTCATGAATGTTAAAAATTTGTTGCTGAAAATATTATTCAATTGATATGATTATCCAAAAACAACTGGAGTTAATCACATTTACTCCCAATTTAGTGCTCTTTTTTAAGTGAACTGAATGAAGATCGTAAGAACCTAATCACCAACCTAAGTCTTCAGTCATCGTGGATTTAGAAACTGTTATCTTAGCTTGGTGCGTTATGGCATTTTGGTTTTCACCACTGGTCAGTTGCGCTAAGTTGTTCAAAGTCTCACTCCTCTGAAAGGCAGCCATTGCCATCCCCAGGCTTAGAATGAACAGGTTGAATGAAAATGCCAGGAATGCACTGGTTATAGGCCAGAAATACAGGAAGTATCTGTTGTAAAAAAAAAACAAATTTATTTTATATATTTCCAAGTCCTAGGTGTCTAAAAGAAAGGGATTGTTATTAATTCTTCTATAATGATTTTTTTTAGTTTTCAAACCCATATATATATCTACAAGAAAATGTGATTATAATTATAAAAATATAACTAAATAAGATAAATCATAAAAGCATAAACACAATGGCAAAAAGAGTACCACAGAGTAATTAACTGCAAATTGGACCAAAATATTTTAACCAACAAAAAAATGTATAACAATTAAGTTTGAAGAACATGACAGGTGAGAAAAGTTCAGATTCATGTACATCTCTGTGTGATTTCAGAACACTTTCTGTAAGATCAAATAACTATTTAAAACCATTGCTGAGTGCATCACATTCAAAACATGTGAATAAACTACTTAATTATTAATATTTTACTTACTTTAAACCAGTAAAATTGGCAAAGAAATTGAGAGTTGCAGAATATATTTCTATTTTGTAGCTGTGTACTTCAATGTTTGCTCCTACTGATGGGTGATACTGAAATAAATAAATAAACCAAAATATAACTTAAAATAAAACTTGGTTTTTTGTGTGATATACATACTCTACATTTATAATTTAGACACTATATATTTTTATTGAACGATAAACCACACAAACTAAAGGAACATCAATGTTTTATAAATTCTTACATAATCATCCACATAGTGAGTGAACATATTGACTGTCAGTGTTTGTTTTTCTTCCGAGTAGCCAAAGAAATAAAATGGGCTCCAAACAAACAAATCGAAAAGACGTGAGACAAGTGACCTGTATTTCAAAACAGCCTGAAAAATAAATCATGCTTAATTTCATAAATGCAGAAATATTGGATTTAAAATGAAAATAAAATGCTCCATAGTCTGATAGACAATTAGATAAAAGGCCTATATAAATATACACAATTACTCACTGATCTCTCAGAGGTTAAAGAAACTTGTCCCTCTCTGTCAATCATTTTAAGTGAAAGCATAAACATCCCTATAAAAAACAAAATATTTTTTTTAATTAGTTAAGTGGATATTAAAGCAAAGATAGCCAATATTTTTTCATATAGATACATCTATAAGTAGTATAAGTTGGACCTGTACATTAATAAATATGTATATACACCAGATGTAAGCAAGGTGTATCACAATCGTTGATGTTTTGATGTTCCCCATTTACACATTCAAGCAACAATATGTTACTGACTCCTAGAGACCATATACAAATACCCTGTAAGATTTTCTTTTTTTTTCTTATATTTAACATAATTATAGCCAACACTCTTACCCAACTCTCTATTAGCAGGTGAATCTGGCATTTCAAGTTCTAGAACCACAGTGTAAGCTTGACCTGCACTTAAAGTCTACAAAATAAGAGCACAATATAATAGTTTTATTAATTGCATTTTCAATATGTATTTATTTTCAGTATTCTCAGTTATGTTAAAAAGTGGCAAAAGCAATTTTATTATAGTCAGATTCGTTACCTCTTGAATAGTTCCTTGTTCATTCCAAAATGATACATTTCCTGAAGGAAAGGAGCATATGCCGGTACCAGTTGGACAAACACTGTAAGATTATAGAAACTGATCATAGAGAAGGCCAGGTGTGCAACCCCAATAAATGAGGTTTTGCAGAGTTGGTAAATACATTTAATAGAAGTAAGTTTAATACACTAGTATTAAGTACAGAGAAATGTCAAAGATGGTGTTTTGAAAAACAATTTTTACAAGTATACTAGAGGCTAGAAGAAAACGCTGACGCAATATTTTAAGAGGATTTCACCATTGCATTACCAATGGTGCATTTTTTGATGCGTGACCTTGTTTTCCAAAACTGAGTTATTTTAATGTAAACAAAGCAGCAGGTTTGTCCATACTACCGCCCAAAAGTGTGCTGTATGAAAGCCTTGAGTGTACATTCATCACCCTACCCTACATAATAATGAAGTAGAACAAACTTCTGCAACCACCCAGGTGTCAAGTGCATAGCAAGGTGCTCTTGGGAGCCACCGGTTACAATAATAGTATTAATACCACACCAATAATTACTAATTAGATGCAACTTAACCCCCCCCCCTTTGCTTCTCACACAACCCCTGCTTATGCTCAAGACGGATCAAGTTAAGTAGTAAATAAATAAATAGGGCCTAATTACTAATTAATATGCTGATTCTTAATTAAATTATATTATTATATATAAGCCTATAATTACTGTAATCCAAGCATACCTAAATGTAAGGTGCACAGTTTTTGAAATTTCTGCAGTTGGTATATAAACATGATAAAAAAATGCATAAAACAAAATTGAAACCGATGCTAGTGTGATCAGAATGACCCACAAAAAAAGTAATTTTAGGATCGTAGATTTTGCTTTGTCCAGGAGAAAGTTTAAGGAGAGGGAACATAATAAACAAAAAGTTCTTGGTGGCCACACAAGTAGTTTGCACAATGCAGAAATCAGTGACACCGATTTGGATTTAATATTTAAAAATATGTTTATAAACGTCTTTTGAAAATCCATTCTACTCTCTCTAGATCTAGAGTCTAAATTAAAGATGCAAGATCTAAAAGCAGATTAAATTTGTTTTCAGTCTTTTAATAGCAGGGGAGAACACTTTGTTTTATTTGAACTGTGGAACTGTTTATGAGTTCAAAAATAGCATCAAGCTAATTTATCACGTGACTTTGTTGTTCAGCAAAGCACATGTTTGAAATTTAAAGATGAAATATTTATCACTTCATAACTATAGAATTTTTAAAAGTCTGTCTAGATCTAGTTGACAACTTAATTTTTTTTTTCCTTTGAAAATTATTTTACTTTTGTTCTCAAATAGTCTACATCAATATTAATATTAGATCTAGATCTCTATTTATGAACAGCCTACTTGCGTGTGTTTACTACTAGACACAAGAGTACTTAATGACCGGATGTTGAACTGTGAATTCTGGGATACACTAAACCCGCCATAGTGTCGTACAGTTGTAGGAAACGGAATCAGTAATAGGATAACTTCGCAATTCACGCACGCTGCGCAGTCAGCAACAGTGAAATTATTATTATTATATATGGCATTCTAATTTAATCTATTCCACAAGAAAGGTATTTTAAAGGATTGACTCTTTTTGAGTGAATTGATTGTTATAATAAAAGTATAGCAGACGGCCAACTCTAGTTGATGCTCATCCCCGGTTTTGTGATGCTTTTGCATAGCTGACTTCCTTGAGTTCAATGAACTTGTCTGTACACTTCCTGTCAAATTCTCATCTTACAGATCTAGATTTCTAGATCTACATCTAGATCTACCTATTCTATCCAATACAACTGTTTAGATCTAGATTCTAGATCTATATATTAAAAATAACAATTTAGGATTTAGGTAGGCCTAGGTCAACACTAGTCAACAAAGACCAACTCTCTGAGTAACTCACTAACTGTTGTAGTGTTGTCTAACTCAATAAAATATGAAAATAAAACTGTAAGCATCTCTAGTGAGTTGTTAGTGAGCTAATCATAAGGGCTAGGCCTAACGAATTATAATTGGCTGATTCTAGCCGGAATAAGATACGCATGCAATGCGCAATGGAGAGAAACTACGACTTGCCTTAGCGGCGATGTTTTCGATGGTACTGCACATGCGTGTGTTTACAACCGCAGAACCCTAACACTAACACCAACCCTAATCCTATCCTTAACCCTAATCCTAACCCTAGCCCTAATCCTATCCCTAATCCTACCCCTAACCCTCATTCTAACCCTAGCCATAGGTTACTGCGCATGCGCAGAGCTATCTTTTGCCGACTAAGTGGAGATGTTGGGGAGAAAAATCTTCTTCCGAGTAGACACTTCGATTATAATTTATTGAGATCTAGGCCTAAGTATATTAAGTTAAAAATCTCTAGATCTATTTTTTAAAAATTTGGTCAGGAAATCAATGTCCCCTGTTCCAGAACTATGAAAATAGTAGTCACAGGCCCATCCTCGTTCAATTTTATTGTCTAGGTTGGTGAGCGTGTCTGGTCCAGTGTAATTGCAGCTTGGTTTTTAAATGAACTGTTTCTGTGTTTAATAAACATGCGGCCAAAGGCTAAATCTGTTTTGTTGTTAGGTTTGGAATAGCATCTGTAAAAATAAAATAGACCAGTTTTATGCTGATTGCCTTGATCATGGGAGTACTGATTTCCTCTTTAAAACTACCAAGCTTGAACACCTATGGCTGGAAGCTTTTCTTCCAGTTTACTTATAGCACCTAGATCTAGTTTCATTATTATTTGACTTAGACCTAAGCCTATTTTAAACTGAATTATTTCTGGCCTTGCATAGTTTCAAGTTTGGGCATTATTTTGTGGTATTTTCCTAATTCAAATGTATTTTGTAATAGAATTTTTAAAATGAGGAAGTAATGTTAATATGTAGGGGGATTAGGCCTAATGTTTTATTTATGGCAATCAGTCGTTTGGGAATAGCTGTATATTGGGGCTATTCCCACCTCAGTAGTTGTTTTCAAATTACTCACAACCTCTATGGGCAGTTAAATGTAACAAGTTTACACATTCTAGTTGGATGGATATACTGACTGTCAGTGCTAATTTACAATCCTATGATTATTGAAATTGGTTTAGGCTTTTGTGTGTTTGATGCATGCACAGCTACTTTATACTATAGGATTTGAACACTTTTAGCTTCATAAAGTTAATGAGAGGGTGTGTTAAATAAAACTTAGGTTGATTGAACATGTTTCCTCATTTATTGAACTAAGTTCCTTTAATGTTTGAGATGTTTTGTAAACTCCATGTGAGGCTCCTTGATCGCTTATTTGAAGGACTTAATTCTAACAAAAAGGAGCTGTGAAATAGTAATAAAGGTTCTTGTAAAATCTCATATTAGTATTAGTGTGTGTGGGTTTTTAGGGTAGAAATGCTAACAAAAATTTGATTAACCAAACCAGTGTTTCTAAAAGGTATCTACATTTTTAAAAAAAAGCCTATTCTTCTTCCAACCTAATAGATCTAGTATCTCAAACATACCTACTTTCCTACCAATAGCAGTCGTTCAGCAAATATTTTTTTTAATCGTGAATTGTCCTGCCAGGCCACTTTTGTCAAAGTATTGTTCCACTAAAATGAAAATAGTGAAAATGTCTGATTTAAAATATAAAAAAAAAACTTATCAAGACAGCAAAACGGGGCTCATCTTTTGTAATAGTTCACTCTGTCATTTCGGGAAAATATGGTTTTACCTCTACAACCTGAGGGCTGAAAACTTTCAAATAGTGTTCTATAATTTTCCTGATAGTTAAATTTAAAACACTTATTAAGGCTAAGCATAAATTGACATCAACAATAAAGAATACTAAAAAAAAAGTTTTTATTTTCGTCCCCTTATAATTAATTCTAAATGATTAGGCCTATTTCTAAATATTCTACATTATTTTTTACTTTATTTTTTTAGAATGGCTCATGAATATGGCGGAAATAAAAAACTATATCCTGGAGTTACAGGACCTTTAAGCCTGGCAGAGCCTAAATTACAAGATAATGAGTTAACAGAAAAGTTGGTTGAAGCCCTTAAACCACATAATGTGTTTGAAAGTGATGCTGAACTTAATCATAGGTAAAAGATTACTCACTTTTTAAATTTGGTAATAAATTGTATAAAAATGTACAAATCTATTTGTATGTTAAAGCAAACTAAATGTTGTTTTTTATTCATTTGATTAACTTCTAGGCTTGAAGTTTTGGCTAAGGTAAATGATCTAATGAGAGATTGGATAAAAGATGTCAGCAGGCAAAAGGTGAGAGCTGTGTTTACTAGCTATTTTAGTGATGCTAAAATTTTCTGCTTTTTGTATTAGGCCCTATTTTATTTAACTTCATCCAACAGAATCGTTTTAAAAATTGTAAAACAAATGTGTTTGATAAATTCTACAAAGAACAACATTATATAATTATTATTTGCAATTTGAATGTCATGGAATTATTTTATCAGTGCATTCTTTATGGACACTTCAGAAACTTCTTGGTTGAAAATAAAGCAATGCAGTGATTAAAATTGAACTTACATTAAGGCTTATTTAGACATCCACATAGTTGATACCTTTAATGTGGTTGTTTTTTCAGAACAATATTCCAGAAAACTTGGTAGATACTTTTGGAGGAAAAGTTTTTACCTTTGGTTCTTACCGTATGGGTGTACACACACAAGGTACTTTAAATATTATTTCACTAGCGACCATGAAAAAGATTATCTCTTTCAGCATAGTATAATCTCATAAGATAAGTTAGAATATTGGTATTAATGAAAAAAACTTGTATTATATCTTATTTGTAGGTGCTGATATTGACACACTCTGTGTAGCACCTCGACATGTAGAGCGTTCAGACTTCTTTAAATCATTTTTTGAACTTCTTAAAACTCAACCTGAAGTTAAAGATTTACGGGTAAGTTTTTTTATTGAGTAATTAAATGCTGTTTTGAAGCTAGTCATTAAATACTTTTATTTAGGTATAAAACAATTTTTAGATTGTAGCCACACTCATTTCTTTTTACAGGCAGTTGAGGAAGCTTATGTCCCTGTTATCAAAGTAGAGTTTGATGGTATTGAGGTAAGATAAGAAACTTCTTCTAATGTAGTTATATATTAAGTCTTATCATTTGCTTGTTACTTTTTAAGGAAACTAACTCAAGTGTGTTTCCAGCACAATATTGATTGGAATTGTAATCATATTTTTAAAAATGTTTCAGCTTGATATGGTCTTTGCCCGTCTTGCTTTACCCACCATCCCAGAAGACATCAACCTCAGAGATGAAGCTCTGTTGAAAAACTTAGATGAGAAAAGTGTCCGCAGTCTTAATGGTATTAGAGTGACAGATGAAATTTTGCATCTTGTTCCAAATCAAGAAAATTTTCGAATGACACTACGTGCTATTAAGTTGTGGGCTAAAAGTAAGTACCTTTTTTTTGTATGTAGGATGTTTTTTACTTAAATTTTATGCATCTGTTTATGTAGTGGAAAAAAAAACAAAGCTACCATTATTTTCCATGATAGCGACCCATCTTGACTGAGTTTAGTGATAACTTGTATACTTAATTAGTGTTAGCAGTCATTTACATTATTTGCCACTTTACCATATTGATATAATAGTGTTTTTTTTTTTATATGATTAACGTAAGAAATATTTTTTTTCAGAGAAAGGGATTTATTCTAATGCTCTGGGTTACCTAGGTGGTGTATCGTGGGCCATGCTTGTTGCTAGAGTTTGCCAGTTATACCCCAAGGCTGCCCCGGCAACCATTGTCCACAGATTTTTCCTTGTTTTTTCAAAATGGTAATTATTTCAATGACTATGAACAACTCTGATATTGTGTAACATAGGTGGTGTAAACTCATTTAATAATTTGTGCTTCTGTTTTTTAAAATAGGGATTGGCCGTCTCCTGTGTTATTGAAACCACTAGATACAGAAAACAAACTAGGCTTTACTGTATGGGACTCTAGGGTAAGGATTTATTTAATGTTTTGTATTCAAACTACTTAGAAACAAATTGTTTATTGTACAAAATGTTTGCTTGCTTACATAGCTCATTAAAATAGAGGGTTACAAGTGATACCATATTCAATTTGTTCACTATAAGTGAAATGGCAGGGCTGCCTAGTTGTACAGTGTTCACCCGTAAAATTATGCAGGGATGTGATTTACCAGATTTTGAGCGGGAAATCTGATTATGTTTTGGCTGCAATTTTCCTCAGCTGATTTGATTTTCTCCTAATACTGCAGTTTTTTATTTTATTTTTGCCAATTTTTTACGAAGTTTTAAAAATTAGGCAAAAATCACCTACATGGAAACAGCCCACACGCATATTCCACATATTCCTATTTAGAGGATTACGATTGGCCTACAGTACAGTTATTAGGTGAAACATACAATCACATGAGCCTGGTATCTTTACCTTTTTAATCTCACATGCGTGTTAATCTAGCCACAGTCTAATTTATCTATTGGTATTTTAACTCAACCTGTTTTAAAAGCTACCCAAATCTATAGATTCTGCTTCTACTTTATTTTGCAACCTCATTAATATAATTTCAAAAGTTGACTATGAGGACTAGACTAACATGTCCCGTCGCATTCGTTACGCATTCGTTTACCCTAACGTAAGTTATGTACCCATCAGAGCTGGTGGACTCTGGGACATTCTCTGGATTCAAACTCAAGAAGTTTGGGTTAGCTCTTTACTGCTGGGTCACACCATCCTTTAAGATTATATTATAATTATTATAAGTTAAAATTTCATTTGCATTATGCATTATGAAATAATCAAAATAACACCAGGTAAATTACTAAAATGAGAATACTACGTTGTGAACTTGACTTGGAGGGTCAATGCTTTTTTTTTTACTTTCTCGTATACGAAGTATAGAGGAAGTATTGTAATCTTTAAAAGCACACATAAAGTACTAATATTCTGTATTTTTATTCATACATCGTTTGCTGTTCACTTTGTGAGCAATTCTTTTTTCTTTGAAATTCTATTTTATTTTCAAAAGTTAAGTAGGCCTAATTAAAATTTGATCAAAATCATGTCTATATCTTGAGTTGCCATCCCCCGTATATGTTATATAAGTATATTTCAGAAAGTTTATGGGAGATCACTCCTGCCTTATTTTAACTGAAAAAAGTATGTTCGGGGGTTGGCTGCACTGAAAGAATTAAACTTTTTATTATGTTTTAAAAAAATAACAATTTTCTTATATTTTTTTTGTTAACAGATAAATGCTTCTGACAGATTCCATCTGATGCCCATTATCACTCCTGCATACCCTCAACAGAATTCAACATACAATGTCACACAATCCACTCGCACTATCATTATGGATGAGTTTTCGGAAGGTAAAATAAAAACTAAACAGCAAAAAAATCCTTTTTATTTCATTGTAAATTAGCCTTTCCACAAAACAAATTGGCTTTTATTATTTTTTAAACTTCTCTTATCAATTCTGCTAATAAAAAAAAAATGTTTATTTAAATTTAGGGTTGAATGTAGTAACACATATTTATGAAGGAAGAGAGGAATGGAGCAGATTGTTCGAGCGGTCAGATTTTTTCCACAAGTATAAGTAAGTTCCACATTTTAATTAATATTAGTATTTAATAAGCATCTGTGGTTTAAAATTCGTAAATAGTTTTGATTTTACAAAAGAGTTTTGGAATCTAATTTGTATTATTCATTTTTCTGTTACTAGACACTATATTGTAGTTAAAGCCAGTGCTGAAGAAGAGGAGCATTACTTAGAGTGGTAAGCTACATTTCGATAAATCTTTATTTACAATTGAAATTGATCTTTGTAGGAAATATAACATGTGGAATTTAATATCTTAAAGGATAATTTATTGACCATGTTTAAAAAAATCTTAATAGCGTTATGAACAAAGATCATTCATAGGTTAATATAGTAGGATCTAGTTTTTATTATTCATTTACCATTTTCAAATTTAGAAAAAAAAGAAATAAGGAAATAGAATACTGTGATTTATATTAAGCAAATAGTGATTTTTAGTTGGCAAATAGTTTGGATATTTAAAATTTGAGTTATTATTCAAATTGCAGTTTAGTGTTCGTGTTAACACTGAAGAATTTGAAACCATGATACCTTTATTTCTTTTTTAATGGGGCATTTTCCAATATTAGCTTCTTTATATTTTAATACAGGAAAGGCTATGTGGAGTCCAAAATACGTCTTTTGGTTGGCAATCTAGAGAGGAATCCTAATATCAAACTTGCACATATTATGCCAACATCTTATGGTCCCATAAATGAGAGGTCAGTATTAATAGTTCAATGACAGGTGAAGTTAAATATTTGGATAAAGTAAACACAGAAATATAACTTTTAATGTTTTATATTAACAGTGAAGGTCAGTATATGTGCAAATGGTTTATTGGGCTGGTGTTTGGTCTGGTAAATCAGGGACCACAACCAGGTGCAAATGTCGATCTCACCTACGATATACAGTCATTCTCAGATGTTGGTGAGTACATAAGTACAGTTTTAAAAGATGTAGTTTGCTTGTCTGTTATAACAATATATTAAAACATCTTTATAATTTGAACATAAAACTGGCTTGTTCTAAAAAATTGTTCTGTATATGTTAGATTATAATTAGTAATTAAAATTTATTTCCACCAGTACATAAACAAGCCATCCATATAAATTTGTACAAAGAAGGTATGAAAGTGGAAATTCAGTATGTTAGAAAGTAAGTGATCCTTTTTTATTTGGCTGTCTGCAATTATTTAATTAAAATGTATTATGTTTAATATTAAATACTTGATTCTTTAGTTAGCAATGCTTATTAAAACAAACAATGAAATGAATATCCTAGAAGTTTAATTGTGCTTTGATATTATTTTTTCTTTCAGAAAACATTTATGTCAGTTTGTATCACCAGTTATATTAAATCAAACTAAAAGGAAAAGAGTAAGCAGATTTTTTGCTCATGAATGCTTAAACATTTATATTGAATGAAAATAAATGTAGATAAATACTGAAATTAACTATATCCTCTGTCTTCTCAAATTGCATATTGTTACACGAACTTTATCTTTTGATTTCCAGCAAGACAGTTTTAAAAGTTCATCTGGAAACACAAGACGTACCAGTTTAGACAGAGGTCCAGGGGGTTCTTCATCTACTACATCAGCTTCAGGTGGAAAGGCAGATCATGATTCAGAACTTTCTAAAGCTATTGTTGCTGCTGAAGAAGATGATACTTCACAAGAATCAAGTTCTGATCCACAAGCTGCTGGTGCTACAAATGGCCCTGTGGTTTCAGATCAAGAAAGTATGCAGTGGAACTCAGAGGAAACACCCAATAGTGGTGGAACTGTTAGTACTGCTAGTAAGGAGGAGGATGAATTTAGGGATAAATCAGAAAACCCTGTGGTAAAAATTAGTTTGCTGAATTTATATTTACATTTTATACGCCTATTTTATATTGGAAATATTTATGGCATGAGAGCCTAGATATCTATATTTATGGTAGTAGAGCTTAGAAGCCTATCAGAAAACCCTTTGGTCAAAATGAGTTAGCTGTGTTCCTCTTAGTTTACTTTTACTTCTATAATTCATTTCATAAACCTACTTTAATTGTAGGATTGAGTGGAGTTGCATAGTAAACATTTTCAATTTAAACAGTATTTGGGAAGTAGCTATTGTTGATCATTGTTAGCATATTTAACTGATGTTCAAAAATCCCCACTAATAATAAACATATTTTAAAAAATATATTCGAGCTTTCAATCTCAAACATTTGTGGCCTTAAAAAGTTATTTTATAGCCTGCTTTCAAATTTAAAAATTAAATAGGGCATTTGCATACAATGACAATTTCACATCCAGGACCATGGATTAATGACATAATTAGATGATAGTGATAGTCAAAGATGGCAGTATACCTGATTGGGTTTAGAGGTAATGTTTTAGTTGGATATCAGCACCAGTAATTTTTATGTCCAAGCAAAAATATTGTCAAATGCTACTCATTAAAAACTTATTTTAGTTACGCATGTTTGGGACAGCATGGTCTAGTGTGAGAGTCATGATTGCTCTTAAAGTTTCAAGTTGAGACCCGGGGCAGATGAGGCTTGTTAGCTGGAGATAGCAACTCTTCTAGGAGAGACAATTCCAAATTCAAACAACTGTCGCTTGCTTTTTGTTCTTGGGTGGACAAAAACTATGGAAGCAAACCCAGAAAAAAAGGCTGAATGTCAGTCAATGGCGCATGATTTTGTGATATGAAGGAACGATGTGGTCAAGACTAAGCCCTATCGCCTTAAATTTCCTCCAAATTTATAATGAAGAAAATAAGCTTGTTGATAATAAAATCATAATAATTAAAATGTTTAATCATGGACTTATGGTCACTCTATGTGATACCTTGTCAAAGAAAATGGGAATTAAGGCCTATTATACTTGTTTTTAGGAAATCGTGACAAAATGTGGTCAGGTCAGTGGACCACTCAATTTAGGGTTTTGAAGCTCAAAATCAAGGGATACACTTTATAAAATATATTACATTAATTATTTCTGACAGCACAGTTTCATTATTAGTTTAAATATTAGTTTTAAAAATTTATGGATAGTATGATTTTTTTTTAAGGGAAGTCCATCATCCCAGGACAGTGCACAGGACGCTGCATCCAAGAGACCAGGCTCACCTTTTCAGAATGACACGCCACCAAAAAAACCAAAAGATTTAGAACAGCAGGTTTGTTAGCACTTTCAACCTCGACCTACTTTTTTATCCTTGATACCTTCCACTGCACATATTATTTTACGATTTTTTTTTTTATGTACAGAAGCCTTGAAGGGTTAAAGTATTATTTTATTCAAACTGAATTAAAGATGTAGAGAATGTATTATCTGAATGGTAATTAGTAACAATTTTAACGAGAGAAAAAATGTTATTGCTGTTTGTATTCTAGAAGACTAGCTGTGTATCTATTCTGTCTGATTCAGGTTGTAAATATTTACACCTAGATTTAAAGCAGTCATATTCCATATATTACGGGATGGTTGTAAGCACTCAACTGCTAACCCGAAATCTTGAATAGGAAGACAACACAGAGTCTACCCAGCCTTATGGTTTCCTGACTCACATTACAAAAGTAAAGGTGGCCAGGCTTAGTCCTCGCCACACCATCTCTTTATATGCCATGTTCAGGAAATAAAATGGACTGAACAAAATGTCATAATTTTAAAAAATCACGTCAGGGAGGAATACTACTTTTACTTTATTCCATTTATTAATATCCAACTACCAGTCACTGTCTAAATCTAGTTATAATTAAAATTTTATTTTAAAATTTCTCTTCCTAAAATGTTACTTGTGTATAAGTTTATCTCATGCCATGTTATTGATTCACCAAAAAAAAACACGAAAAGATTGGTTAATTATTATTATTTAAAAAGCAAAAGTTGGGTTGACAATTCCTGGTTGATATAAACATTCTGCCTAAGTTGAAAGGTTATATACTTAATTTTTGTTTGTAACATTATATTTGCTTGATGGAAAATATGTGACTGAGCATGAGGAAAGAGAAACAAAGTACTTGACCAGGGCTGTAAGGATTAATTTTGTAACTAGATCATGTTTGACAATAACTGATGCTTTTAGTTTAAGTATTCAACATAAAATAAATAATACGAGCCGACTCGCAGCGCATCATACGCCGCTATTTAGTTGTTTTATTTTCTACTTTTCAGTAATTCATAATTTGTGAATTCGACAGTACCAATGTTGCCACTGAAAATATTTGCTTTAAAACACTAACCCCCCCCCTTTCCCCTAACCCCGACCCTACAGCCCCCCTTCCACCCCGTGAAAGCAGCCTCCTCTTATTTATTTCTTAGTTACCTCCTGTACTGTAAGTTTAAAATCGAACTAAATTATCTGCCCCTAATAGAAACCCGGCTCTACGATTTGTAAACATTTAGCTTTGTAAACATTTAGCGTGACCACAGCTCACCAGACAATGTGGGGTGGGGGTGATAGTGATAGAGAGAAAGAGAGGGGACTGCAAGGAGGCGCTTGCAGCTTGTTTTCTAACGGCTCCCAGAAGAGAATTATATATATAGATTAATAAAAATATATTCACAAAGGTGTAAAGTTAACTTTTACAGCAGCACAATTATTTTACCAAACAACTTATTTCCTAGCAAATGTTTGTCTTTTTGCAAAATAATTACCTCTTGCCTTTATTCTTTAGATTCCTGGATCACCAATGCAGGTGGATGAAAAACAAACGGGCACATCAACATCATCCTCTTCATCGCTGACATCAACTTCTCAACATTATTCTTCATCCCAACAACCGCACCAGCCATCTTTATCTGATGCAGCAACAAAGTCTATAGCCAATAAGGTAAACTACATTATACATTTACAATTAACTCATTTGCTACTAATGCTACTGAATGCGACATACCCCTTCGTTACCAATATGACAGAATGCGACATGACGCAACCGCCATTACTTCACTTTATCTATGGTATTTTTATCGCATTATTTTCATGCAAAAAGCGCTTCTACGTTATTTATGCTTACTAGTTATAGTACAAGAATGAGCAAGATTTCCCTCCAAAAAAACTGAAGTTTCTAGCATTTTTTGTTTTTTATTTTGAATTCCAAACAAATTTTTACACTTTTTTGCATTAATGGTCCCTTTTGCATTATCGTAATATTATTCAATTTTTTTTTAGAGAATCAGATAGTTAGATAGATTCTATATTAGGACAAGACATTTAATTTCAGAAAATTTTAATTAATTCATAAAAAATGATTTAGTCACCCAATTAAGTCTAATTTAATGTCATATTGCATTGTCATCGGGTCTTGGCCCATTTGCCGAATTTCAGAGAAATTGACTGGTTAGAAGTGCCCAAAATTTCACTCACCCGTTTGGATCTAGACAGACAAAAGCAAATTAGATAAAAGCTTTAAAAACATTAAATTATTTTGTTTCTTTGAGATAACAAATTTCTTTATTTAATAAGTATATTTTGTGCCTTTTTAATAATAAAATAAAAGATAGGCTTGTTTTAAAACAATTTCAAAGAAAAGATGTTGGTTACCTCCCTTAGCTTAAGGACTAGAGAAGGGTTTTGAGATGGCTTTAGTAGCAAATGAGTTGATTAAAGATTTAGTAGAAAATGTTACTTTAATTGTTGTTTTATTTTGTATTATATATTTTTTAATATTCTTTTTCTAGCATGTAGATCATCATTCTAGCAATGAACTCTCAGATTTGTCCAGTCCACAGCCTATTAATGCAACAGGATTTCTCCCACCCTTGAAAAATTCAATTAAACTGAAGCTTAAGTGATACTTGACTTAATTTAAACACAAATTCATGCTTCTGATTTTTCTTCAACAAGAAATGTAAGTTCTGCACCCATTAATGTTTATTCAAACCATGGCAGGAATCATGGACACTTGTAGATTTGTTTGTACTTATTAGTGGTCATCTGTTAGCTGTGTCTGCTTCAACATTTGGGTAACCTGTGTTGTGAATTTGCTGTGTACATACACATTTGTTTTGAAATGAACTTTGTGTTTATAGTTAAGTTTATTTTCTCCCATCACATATAAGATTAGTCTGCCACATATGGCCTGAACACAATATGGAATATATGATTGCATTATTTGCTTATTTATAAACATGATGTGGTTGCATTTAAAATACAACTAACATATGATTAACATCTGCACATTCTAATATTCCCGGTTACATAGTGGTTTGACTTATATAATTACAATTAGTACACTCCTAGCCCCAAATATACTTCATCACCAACTTGGGCATTGTTATTGAGAAAACTTCAGGGAGTTATATTTATTTTTCATAATTTGGAGGGATATATAGTATTTCATAGAGTTCTTCTTTGTTTTCATAGCAGCTTGTTGACAAAAATTATACATAACTGTACAGAATATCTCCAGTAGTATCTTGAATTTATATACTTATCTGTTCAGCTGTTAAGTAAAATGAACTTATGCCAATGCACTCAAAAATCAATGTGGGATTTTTAAAGTGCATGCATTTAATTTTATATGAGGTTTTTCTTTTTTTGTTTGTTGATGTGGCAATTCTTATTTTTTAAATGCTGAAATATATATTTTTTTCTGTTGAGATATGTGAATTATACCTGTTTCTTTTTTTTTTTTGTTTTTTTTGTTAGATATAGCTGCCATTTTAATACAAAAGAATAATTCTTTTTGAAAAACAGATTATTTAGGTTGGTCAAAATTTAAAATATTAACATATTTATTAATAAAGATTTTCAGTATCACAATTCATTTTTCAGTTTTAAAAAAGTTGCCCACCTAATTTTGTTTCCAGGGTGTTTAAAAATGTCATGCTAGTAATTTTTAGCAGTTGAAATTTTTTTGTTTTATCCTACTTCAAATCTCATAAGCATTTGGTACAAACTTTTTAAAATTCTGTGTGAAATAGAGATGAAATAACTGTACACTGTTCTTTATTGTGTGACATCTGCTAAATTAAATATTTGGCAGTGAGGTTGTTGGTAACAAGAAAAAAATAACAACTGGAAATAGAAGTTAAGTCATTGATGTTGAATTTGTGAAGACATAAATAACTGTGACAAAATATTAAAATATTTTAAGGCAGCATGACTTTTTTGTATGTTGACGATTTAAAAGTGATACTTATTTTGTTATTCAACTATGAATTTGCTGTAGTATTGATACATTCTGAACAACCAAATGCCTTGTAGTGGTGTGGTTTTTAAATAGTACAGCTGATTTTGCTTCCCTTTTTCCCTGGCATTTTGTTTTTCTTTGTGTGTGGTGTGAAAATGGAAAAATGTTATGATAAAATTTTTAAAAGAAAATTGATAGAACATAGTATGAAAACAAATAGTTGCTCCAATTCTGTAAGTGGATATCAACATTTGTGTATGTCATATTTAATAAAGTGTATTAGCAGAAAGTATGGGAATATCTGGACATGTAAAATAGCAATGTTTTCAGATCAAGACTGCTGATTACATGTTTCAACTAAAGAAAAGTATCTGAGTTTATTTTGGTGGTGTTTTTTTCTTTCTCTGATACAGGTTTTTGGAGCATAAGATTTTTTTTTAAAATCCTTTTGTTGGTTAGTTTTTATTTTATTGTATGAGAGAACTAAAAGAAATTCCCAAAGTCACAGAAACTATATACAAATATTAACATATATTTAACATAATTAAACGGCAGTTCAATGTATTTACACAATTTGTAATAGACTAGTAGTTATTTCTTAAATTTAGAAATATATTTAAGTTCAATCAACCATTCCTTAAAGTTTTAAAAAACATTTACTTGTGTTCTCCTTTAGTCTGTTTACACAGAAAGATACCCATGTTCACTCTTTTGCTCCCATTTTATTTTTAAAACCTGGATGCTTGTTAAATAATATCTCTAATTAAAATATTTCTATTAATTTCACAATTTAAAAAAATTCACAATTCAATAACAGTTGCATATGGCGTAGATTGATCAAAGAATTTGTTTGGAAAATGTTTAATATAGGTTAGTTTCAAAATACTAGTTATTTATATATATTTTTTATCAAAGCTTTCTTTTTCTTGAACTAGAGACAACAGCAATGAAGAGGCAACTGGTTTCTGGTGCCTGTTTCTTTATTAAACTTCTTTGATTATAGTGTAAATAAACGCAAATAATAAAAAATTTTGCTTTAATTTCTTGGATATCAACAAAATTGACAGCCAATAGTTTTAATAAATTTAAGTAAACTCATTATACTAATTCATTTTCTACATAAGAATGTTTTTTTATTTCATTTTTGTGCTCCATACTGTTTGGTTTTAATTACCATCACTATTTTATGTTCAATGAAAAATAATGTACCTTATTATTGTCTTGCTGAATTTGTATTCCAGTGGATTGCCCAGATTTTCTTTGTTTATATTTACATTTTAGAAAATAACATTGCAGTACTTAGTTCAAAAAATGAAAATTGTATATTTTGCTAGTTATGTTGCTTTAAAATCCTACTATGGATCTTCAACTCAGGTTTCTCAAAGCAAGTCATATTTCACACTGTTATTTGAAGCCTAACTAGATTACGAGGAATGATGATCTAGGCCCTAATTTGACAAATTATTTTATAGCTCACACAGCAACCCTTTTTTTTTTTAATTTTCTGTTGTTCCTTACAATAGAAATAATTATTTTCTTTGTCACATGTTTGCCTTCGGTCTTGTAGTGTGTTGAAAATCAGTGTCCCACATTTGTATTATATCAATGGCCTGGAAAAAAAACAAAAAAAATGCATATCTATAAAAACCAACTTGTTGAGCAAAAAAATTTGTGCTTGTAAATTTTATGATTTTGTAAGTGTGAAAGAATATTATGTAATATATTTGTAAATAGAGTATATTATATGATTTTTTTTTTTGTGATTTGTTTATATCATAGAGGATGCATCAAATTGTTTCATCATATGTGTTTAAAATTGTAAACATATTCAATAAATGTTAATGTAAATTACTTTGAAAAATAAAATTTGATAAAATACTAGCACAAGTTTTGGTGAACATAAATTTGTTTCTATATCATTGGTTCCAACCATTTTTCATAGTCTTCATAATTCTGAGTATCCCTTTATTATAAATCATTTATCAACACAAAAATGGTATTTTATTTTTCTTAGGATGGCTTTATGAATCTTAATATAACAGTTATCTTAAATCATACAGCTCATGCTACATATTTATCATTCATTTGCTAAAACTCCTACCATGTATTCTTTAACTAGTTGAAAATGTACTAAAAGCAATATTTTGTAATAATTCCTTTGAGTTGAGCATGTTGTCCTGTAGTCAAAATTGGTTCAAATAGTAACAAGTAACTCCAAGTTAGCTCTTTCAAGTGTGATTGCTGCCTTTGCTTTTAGACTTGGCATTAATTTTTAGCAATAACTTTTTAAGCATTATATGCAGGTACATGTCCTAAAAGTTCTTTGTCAATAAACATTTGAACCTAACAAAAAAACATCCTTTTTATGGAGACAATGTTTTTATCCATTCTGTCCAACATTCAAAGTCATTAGCCCAGAAAAATCACATTCAGTTACAGTAATAATGAAAACGGGAGGGGGTATGAATTTTCTATTGGCATCATCATATGGTAATGTATTTTCTGTATTGTACATCCAAGGATTAGAATATTTTCATTCCGGTACAAAAAATCATCCAGTAAAACCTCATTCTTTTTACATTAAATGGATAATAAAACAATAAGAATACTCAAAATGATTACAACACAAGAACAAATTTATTCGTATTTTTATTTATTACTTGAGTTAAATCATAACCCATTAGTTTACTAGAAGTAACATCTTCCAAACTAAACAATATTGTGATTTGCAACACGCCAATTCATCCTACTGCAAAAATCAAAAGTGACCCAACACACCTAATTAACCTTAAGTAAAAGAAATGAAACCACAAACACCTACATAGGTAGTAACAGTCATTACTGCACTTGTGTTTAACTAGCACAAACAAATAGAAGAAAATTCAGGTGTTATTTAACATGCAAGCAATATAAAGGTATACTATTTGGTCAACATTTACTTAATGTATAAAACGTGTATAAAAATACAAACTCATGAAAAGAGACACTTCTATGCAAAATAAATTGTTTTTTAACAATATGGATAAACAACATGAGGATGGAAATTTAGTAACATATGAAGACTATTGAGGGGGCAAAATTATCCCTGAATGTTCCATAAATCCTTTCATTTAAAAGAATGCTGAACCTGTTTTAATTGCATTATTTTATATTAATGGTGTAATATTTTATTGCGTTTTTTTTTAAATACACAATTCATTGAAAAAAATATTTTTAAAACATTATAGACCAGAAATGAGAAAAGCTTGAATAAAATATTAAGAAAAACCTTAACAAACTCACATATAGAAGGTTTTTAGATGTGCTTTTTTCTAAAATAATTCATTAAATTTAAAATGTGAGTGGTTTTTAAATAGGTGGTTTCAATAAAACAGCAATAATGAATTACATTTTTGAAAATTATGGTTATTGAAAAATCAGATCTGTCTTAAATTTTGACACAAAATTTGATAATACTGCCCAACATTCAAAAACAAAATATTAGTCTGAAAATTAAAGTACTCATTGCTTATGCTAAATATTTCAAGCTAACAGACAACAGCTACTGCTATTGAAGCAATGTGGTCATACAGTGTGGTCAAATAAGGATTTTTAAAAAGTTTCAACAAGTTATTTAATTTTAAAGCTGCCAGTAAATTCATACAATAATAGCACTGGCCTTTAAATTATACTCACTGAAGAAAAAAGTTAAGTTCATAATAATAAATAATTAAAACTTATAAAATAATTTAAGAGAAAAAAGCTATCCATAAACTAACAAGATTTTTTTTTTACTTCCCTTTATTCACAATTATCTACCTTACCAAAATAAAATAAGGAAAAAAAATGAACAATAAAATAAAAACTGTTCATAACCCTAGTAGTAAAAAATAGACAGGGGGTCACATTTAATCAACATCAAGATCATACATCATGGAGTTTGTAAATTCAAATGCGCACTGAGTCACATGCTCTCCATTGATCTGCTCTTCCTCCCAGCTAAGCATGGTCTCAACATCAGACTTTTCTCTCACACTGCTGCTACCACCATCTGACTTATTTTGGTCCGAATTCTTTTCTTTTTTGTCAAAGCGCTCTTCATCATCCACGTCCTTCTCCCCATTGTGTTTGCTGCCTGGGGTCTCACCGTCACCACCAGTGGTGGCACTTGTTATCACTGCCTTCTCACTCAACTCATCGGCCACCAAACTCACAGCCTCAACATAATCATCACTGTCATACCCTTTGTCATCCACATCCCTTGATGCATCACCTCCAGCCATCTTGTTCTTGATCTCAGCTATTATCTTCTTGTTCCTCTTGCTGGCTGATTTCTCGCCATTTTCCACCACAGTGCTCTCCCCTTCCTTAGCCTCACTCTGATCTTGCGTCTCCATCTTCTCAACGAACTCCTGGCACTCATTCAAAGAAACATCCACCACATCACGTGGCTCATTATCTAAATTACTAGTCCTAAAGTCGAGCCCATTCTCTGAATGTGGTATCACTTTGGAATCACCTGAGATCTCTTCTTTCTTCTTACCATTCTTTCCTTTCTTCTTCTTTTTCTTCTCTTCTGGCTTGGTTTCAAACTCCTCTGTGTAGATATTGGGGCCAGGGTCTGACACAGCTCTGCACAGGACCATTCTATTCTTGTTGCTCCCCTTCTCAGTGATCTCTCCCTCACTGAGGGAGTACGAATCTCCAGAGTGCAGGCATTCCTCGCTGCTGCTGTTGCCCTCGCTGGTACGACGAACCCGACCCTGCCTTTTTTCATCACGCTTGCGCTGTCGGCGACGTTTGCTCTTCAGGGCTGGGGTCATGCTGGAGACGGAGGCGAACGATTTGAACGAAGCATGGTCAACGTGGTTGCTGAAAGATACTGATCTCTTCTTGCTGAAGGACGAGGACAGCTCGTCCGATTCTGAACGAGGGCTCTCCGGGTCAACTGCCATGACCTCCTCGCTTGATTCGGAAGGTGTGCGAGTTTTCAGAATGCTGTGCAGGTTAGGAGTAGGGTGCTTGTGTATGACTTGGATTTCAGCAGATGTTGGAGGGTCATATTCCTCATCTTCATCCTCTATAAGCATGTCCTTTGACTTTTGCTTCTTCCCTTTGGGTGGCTATGGGGGGGGGGGGGGGGGGGGGGGGGAAGTCAAAAAAATTGTTCTATTATTTTACAACAAAAATAAATGAATCAGCAGCTCAAAAAAATTATTTCAAATATATTAAGATGTTTTAAATAAATATACAACAGCAGAAATAATTGAATATTTAAATGTATAAACAATTTTTAATTACAACTTTATTAAATGACTATGTTACTCCCAGCTACTATGACTTTGTTAAAGGAGATAAAAGTAACTGACCAAATGGTCACAGATGGCAGAATTTTTAAATTCATCTTTTACTATATTCTTTTTAGTGTATTTTAAGGGACTTGACCAAAGATTAGTTCTGTTTAAGTTACTCACCTTGATGTCTATGGTCAGTTTGTGCTCATTCATAGTGACCACAGAGAGGCTAGGCATCATCTCAACCTGGATGGGCATGTTGGCTTCCTCTGTGGCTTCCTTATCAAGTTCTGATAACTCTCTCTGTAGATTGCTTTCTGTAAGAAACTGCTTGTACTGTTGAAAAAAAAAAAGCACCAGCTAGGTTAGCTCTTATTCCAAAACCTCTTAAAGAAAGCAATACCACCAACTAAATGTGATCATGTGATTAAATCATTAAGTTTTGGTCAGGTTTATTTTTGTATCAACATTTAGCTGCAGTAGAGCACATACAAATATTGATTTTATATTGGAAATTTATGTGGTTTACAGTGCACAGCTATTAAGTACAAAATTGAAAATCAAAGTGTCATTTTTTCAGATTTAACAATTATCTTAATTATTTAATTTTAATTCAAAACAAAAACTTAATAGAAAAAGAGAATAAAGTCAATGCTTTTTAAAAATGTTTAAGGATATGGTAAAAATAGTTTAAGGATATGGTAAAAAAATGTTTAAAGATATGGTAAAAGGAAGTATAAAAAAGATTTCAAGTCATAGCATGGCATTGAATGCAAAGCTGAGTCATATCTCATATTTGAACAGCTGTTGAAAAGTCAATATAATGGTAGCTGTGTTGGGAATGAATAATGTCTGACATTGTGACAAAATCCCATCAATACAACTAGACCTACATCCAAATTGATTTGTAAACTACAACCAAAGAGATCACAACACAATGTAGGAATGAGCCCTTTACTGTTACACTGAACCAGCAGAGATGGGGGGACGGGGACTCCCTACAGCCTTTAGGAGCAATAAATCTTTACCTTTTTGATAGGGGTTATCCATAAATCTTGTCAAACAACTTGTGCATGGGAATTATGGGGGGGTGGGGGTCACTTCTTGAAACAATGTGCAAAACAGCAGTAGGCCTTTATTTATATTTTAAACAGCCAATAGACTTATAGCACAAATCATGAAGAGCAATATTCTATGTTAAAATTTTTTAAGGGAGTGGATGAGGGGGGGGGGGGAGAGGGAGAGGTGTCAGTGTAGGAACAACATAATTTGGATTCTAATAATTGTATTAAGCCACACAACCTGTCAGTTACAGTGTGCTTTAGACTTTAGTGCTCTATGACTAACTATTCTAAAACATGTTTACAAACATTTGTTAATGAAAATGGTTTATTAGGTTATTTGAACAATAATTGAACAATATTACAGTAGCTACTGCTTAGTGTTTTCATACAATCAAACTCAAACAAGAGATAAAAACTACAGCAGCTGATAATGTAATGTTGAGGCTTGCAATAAACTGGGCCTTAATTCTTTCATCCTAAGACAGATAACAAGACCTTAAATCTGTCATGCCATACACCAAGAACAGAATGTTACCATGATTGTTTATTATTACAATCACCACAGGAATCTGAATGCTATGGCTAAGAGTTTAAAAAAAAAAGATAGTTATAAGATGATTGGTTCAATCTTGCTTTTTAAGTGGTAGGCCAGAATAGCTCACTCATACAAAAGCTATGCAACTAGTGTAAAAAGGTCAATGTAAAGAATACCAGTCTTAATGTTTTATTTGTAATAACAAAAAAAAATGCATTTATGTCAGATTGCAGATAGGTGGTGCATAGTTGTATTGCCTACAACAGTTAAGGCTAAACCTCATTACCCCTGTGATGGTGAGGCTTCAAATGTGTACAAACACTACTGGTGTCCAACAAATACAGACTCTATAGAATCTAGGCATATATGATGAGGACAGGATCAGACTTACTTCCGTGCAGTAAATAAAACTCCTTCAGAAATGACTGCACCTCACCAATTCATGCTGTCTTTCATTATTATCTTATTCTAAACTGTCCTAATCCATAGTCTCCGCCCTTATCTCTGTTTAGTATAGTCACATATATTCATATTGTTAGCCCTACCTCCACAATCTACATCCTCCTACCCCAATGACTTGAGTACAGGCCTATTGCTATCATATAAAAAAGGCTACAAGAAATATAAGTAAACATTAGGTCTAAATCAGTTGAACCTACACACACAAATATGCAGTCAAAAAATACTAAGCTATGATAAGTTACTGCTTAATTATAATTAAAATGCATGTGTAAACCTTATCACTATTTAAATTGTTTAAGTGCACAATTTTTCTTTCTGGTGTAATGTCATGTCACCATGGCATACTTGATATTATTATTGTGACAGGGCGTAAACCGCCACAAGATAATCTTATTGTTTGATATAAAGCGGCCCAGTTGTCTAGATCAAGATCTAGACTATACAGTAACGTAACTTTACGACTAGCAGTTGTCTATAGATTCTATTCATTATTTACCTCAAAGCAGAGCCCTGCTCGTTGAGCTTGAACGAGTGACTTTCTATACAGACAAGTGTAAAGAGGTCGTCCTTGTTTATGTTTTGGTGGCCGTGCAAAAGATGCATTCACAGACAGGCTTTGTAAATAACAGCTATGAGTAAAACTTATGAAATCACGTCTTGGAGCCAACGCAAACTTCACTGCAGCATTAGTATCTGATTATTTCGTCTAACGAGAAATCTTGGGGAAAATGCAAATGCGTAGACCAGGAGACGCGACAGCCTCAGAACGAATGACAACCAACCTCCGTGGAAAAAAAAAATAATACAAGTGACTCGAGTAGCTACGCGAATGTTCGGCGTTTCCCGTAATACCGTTGCTTGTACCACGTGACGTGCTATTTGTGTCGTGGCCTTCCCACAGCTAAATTTTCGTTGTTTTTTTTTTTACCTTTTACCCCGCTTGTTTGTGTTTTGGCTTTAGAAAATATTCGGTTTTTCCGCAAGCGCTCAATAAATAAGCGTTAGTCTAACTCATTAGTACTGCAAAAGCATCGGCTGAGCTACTTTCTGCTCAGATAGACCTTCCTTTTTTTTTAAAATTGCAAATAAACGGAGAAGTAATAAAATAACTGACGAGACATCCGATTTTAGAACCAGACATGCTATGACCTTAGTGTTAGAGGTCAAGGAGACTTCTCTGTCCTCTATATTTAAAAAAAAATATAATAAAGGCCTTTATGTATTTACATCCTATTTAAAATTTAATCCTTTAAGTAAATAGGCCTATAGTTCGAAATTTTACTCAGTTATTAGTAAAGCACAATTTAAAAGTCTAGATTTTTATATCATTAAATAGGCATATATATTTTTTGTTGTCCTTACAATTACAATATGACATTTTTATCCCGAGCTTTCTATCTATGAAAATGTCTTTTTAAATAGTGTGTATATATTTTTTGGAATAAACCCCGACCCGTGAGTCATTATGACAAAAACAAAGCGATCGATCGACAGAAACGGCCTTGCAATACCTCATCCTCGACGATCCGCCAGGGAACAACCTTCAACTCTTGGTGACCTGACCTCAATCGCTAGAAAGGCAGCTGGCGTGTGAGCCAAGTAGGGCAACTCTCGTTTACAAACATTTGTGCCGTCCAGAAATGACGTCATGCGGGGGAGGCGGGGGGGAGTGAAAGTGTGTAGCGCTCATAAATAAACAGAAAAACGTTATGTACATTTCATTACCAGAATCTATGCGCGGAGAAACAAACGATTTCTAACAGTACTAAACTTAGCATACTACCAAATAAAATCAATTATTCTGAAGTTATCATGGTCAAGGAAGTGGGGGAGGCGGGGTTGAAAATGATGAGGTAATGAATAATAAAAAAGGGTCAGTTTTTAACAAAGAGGGTCCGTTTTAAATAAAGAGGATGCAGCGATTGGACAAAACTGCATGAATATGCTATGAGTTAGGGACAATAAAATACTGAAATACCTCAACATTTTTAAAATAATGTAATAAAAAACTCTCATTCCATTTACATGTTGGTTACACGATGGCTTAAGTCTTAAGTAATTCAATGATTTTCCATCAGATAAAGATGTTGCAAAACTTGGAACATATGGTGTAAAATATACTCTTTGGCAACAATTTTAAGATAGGCAACAACACTAGTTTTTTTTAAAAAAATTAAGAAAAAAGAGAAAAAAAACCAAGCTATAGATAACATGGTGCTCCAATTAGGAGAGTCTACTTTAGAGTGTCACACTCAGGAAGTGCATAATGGCCAGTGTGAAAGGCTTGGTGATGCAGTTTGTCTACATAAGTGCACCCTGGTCTAGTGTGCAAACAGTACCTATAGCTGGCTACAAAATCCCTTCACATGCTCAGACCACAGAAACAGATGAATACTTCATCTGCCATTTAGATTGATAGATCCAAAAAAAAGGGCATCCTTCACTCAGGTGCAAAAAGCTATTAGCTAGCAAATGACCTTATCTGTATAGTAGGCCTATTTTGCAAGACAAGTAAAAATTATTACGGACATTAACTTGATAGATGACCCACAACTACAATTATGAGTAGGCTTACTTTATATTTAGCTCAACAAATGTGAATAATAAATTAAATAAGATGGGATAGTGGCAATAGGGATGATTGGGAGTAAGTGACATCTGATATGGATTCAATGTGATCACCATCCAACTGGTGATATTGCTTTAAAAGGAGAAGATGATGACCAAGAAAGAGGAGAGAAAGTTGTGTAAAAGGCAATATTTAACAAGGCAAAAGCAGCGACTCTCTTTTGATACATTTCACTTTTCAGCAGCTTGAGCAACATTCTCTTTTGAAAGCCTAACATACTAGAGTGTTATTTCTATGACCTAACTTAAGTCCAGTAATAGTTATAATACTGTAAAGACATATCTGCTTTGCTATACAGGGACAAATACACAACGGAACAACGCAACATTGTTTGCATTAGTGACAATGTGAATCATGTAATAATTTTAAAAATTTATTTTTAAAAAATAACTGCAGTTAGTTAGTATCAAAGTTTACAGAGCTATTATAGTACAGTAGTACAGCTTTTAAAATTTAAAAACTGATTGTTACACTTAAATATCTGTTAATTGCATTAAGGATTTTTTAAAATGAATGAATTAGTAATTGCTAAAGATTTTAAAACCCTTCATTAAAATGTTTTTCAATTAGTTAAAAATTAGTAAATTGAATAGGTAATTGTTTTCTGTACCTGATACTTTTTTTTATTTGTGATCAGGCTATCTATATGGTCACTCATTTTACATAGGATTAAAATATTAAAATATTGCACTTGCCTGCAGCTGAGATTCATCAATGCCGATCTCAAAGCTGTCCCAGATGCCTCTACTGCTCTTCTCCTTGAGTACAACAAGCACAACATTATCAGCACTTATGTCCAAGTTGCTATGCTCTGGAGAAATGCAACAGTCCTCTGAGAACCTGACATAGAGACTGTAGTACACAGGAAAGCATCCAGTGCCGTAGGACATGAGCTGCAGCAAAGTGACAGACTGTGACGGATGTGACAATTTAATAGATTTTGCTTCAACGTTTTTAACTGTTACAATAAATGATACAGTTTCTCTGTCTTGAGAAAATTGATAATCTGGCAAAATCCATTTAACATTCTGTGGAAAACTTGACGTGTTGGTTCTGATTTCTTCTTTCTCTTGAATATACGCTGTACTTTGAGTTTCATCTGTTTGTTGAGTAGTTAAGACCTCTGGTGTGAGAAGTATTTTCTCTACTTTGTTTTCAGTAGATTTTTCTCCTGGGTCAACATCGCTAGAGGTGACTTCTGTCACTAATGATTTGTTTTCATCAACATCTGAATAAGGCAGTGGTGGTGTTTTATCAGGAATGACAGGTAGAGTCACTGTGAGGGTTTTCTTTGTCTTATCAAACTTAGCAGAGCCATCATCCTCATTCACTGGAAAAGGAAGGGCGAGATCAAGTTTGTAAGCAGCTGGAGCCACTGACGTTAAAACTAGCCTTTTCTCAAATATGTCTAGGTTAGCTTGAGCAGCAGTCTTCAGCAATGGGAGCTCAATTTTTATAACAAGTTCTTTTGGACGGGTAGAAGTTTTAGCATCCGGCGCATTTCGATATTCACTCAAGTCTAATTCAGATCTATGAGTCAATGTGTATTTTGGCTCCGTAAATTTACTGTCTTCTCCTGCATTTTTTGCATTCTCAGATTTTACAGAATTTTTCTTTGAGTTTTTAACTTCATTTTCTAAAGCCTTTTCTGAAGAAGTCTTTGAGTCATATGGATAAGGCATTTGGTTAAGGATATCATCAGGTGCAAGCTGGGATTGAACACCATCACCTTTTCGCTCCCTCATTATGGTAGCAGTTGGTTTTCCTTTGAATTTAAGCTTTGGTCGCTTTATGTTCTTTTTATCCAGAGTAACGCCAAACTGACGCTCGATTCCATCTAAGGCAGTGTCTTCAACAAGCTTTTTAAATCTTTCATTAGACATAGCCATTCGATAAGTGTCTGGATGAAATACAACATCATAAACTTCACACAACTTTTTGTTTTTGTCAAAATCTTCTTTGGGAGGTGCAAATGAGTGAGGTATTTGCCACATAAGCCCATTTTTCCCATTAGGTCCAGTTTGCTTTTTTGATTTCGGTTTGTCTAGTTTTTCGTTCTGACAAATATTAATAAAAGCTTTCTTTGTCCCGTTGACTGTCGTCTTCAAAACATACCCAGGTTGTGGGTGAATAAACTGCACATTCATGCCTCGTTCATTTTCCAGCATTGCAATTTCTTCCTCAGCTTTGCGTCTGTTCTCGGGATTCGAAATTTCCTCGGCATATTCAACAAGCAGTTTCCTAAATTGCTCATCTTTCAATGCCTCTCCTAATCTTTTAACCTCGTCTCTGCTGAGGTTCAAATCATCAAATGTACGATCGGAAGCCATGTTGTTTGGAATGCCAACACCGTAGTGACGCATGCGTTGTTGTGAATTAAGGGAAACTATTCAAATAAACTTTGAGAATTAGTCTGATCCAAGTTACTAACCTGATTTCTTGCAATATATCAGCCGATCCTACACTATTCTCAACGACACTGTCGTTGTAATATATATAGTATATAGTATTATATAGACACTCGATTAATAGAATAATACGGCTCCACCCTGTTTACCTGTAGGCCTACTCATTTATAAAATACAAACAGCTTACACATAAACTTTAGTTTAAAGAAATATAAATAAAAGGATTGATGCATGTACTAGCGAGAATCTAACAGTGGTTTATCACTGTTAATGTAATATTGCGATAGATTGAAAGGTGTTGTGAGCATAGAGGGGTTGTGTGTGTGGAGGGGAGGGGGCATTTATAGAACGTCTACAAAGTCTGCAATACTATTTATAATTAATCATAGTTGGATTTTTTTGCAGTGGCGAATTAAGAGGTGGGGGGAGGGGCTTACTGGAGAGAAGCCCCAAATTTTCTCTTATATGGGCCTACTTACAAATTTGTAAATTTCACTTTCCTACCGACGGGTTGGTTTAACAATATATTATAAGTAATTTTTTTGTAATATTTACATCAAAAGTTTATTTATATCTTTTAAATTATCTAACACAAAGTATTCATCAGAAAGGTTTTCATCAACGCTACAGTAGTTGACATCATTAGGTTGTTCCACGTAATTTTTAAACACCACAAAAAAAAATCGTATTTTCTACTGTCTTTAGAATTGAATTAATGTAGCAAAATTATCAAATAAAATTATAAATCAGCGATTTCCAAACTGGGAAGCTAGGAGTTTAAACGCACAGTATAAAAAAAATTATATTACTATACTTTCATATCAAAGCTGTCATCGATACTCAATTTAAAATATTTGCCTATCTCTATTAATCAAATGTACCAATGAGGGATGTTTACAATTTTTTTTTTTTTTTTTTTTTTTTTTTTTTTTTTTTTTGCTGATTAAAAACATATTATTTCACAAAAGTTGACGCTTGACACATATAGTTGGTTTTAAAATGTGTCAAGTAACCCACAAACAAACGTCGAGTGCTCTAGTGCAAAAGATGTGTTGGCAGATTGACTGGGACTTGGTCAAGATGTTGTTGTTTAAGGTTTAGAGTCCGTTTTCAATCACAAGATTATATCAAAGAATATTTTTGAAAGATTTTTTTTTTAAATTACATGGATGTTGTTTTATTTAGCTTAGTTTTGGATTTTATTTCATTTGTGTTTTGTTTTATAGTTTATTTTTAAAGTGATAAGTTTGTCAAAATAAAAACGATTCAAGAAATATACGGTAAACACAACGTTCTGACTTGCTGATAATTATATCAAGATCTTTGCCACAAGTTTTACTCAGAGGCGTAGCAGGGTGGGGTGGCTGTTCAGGGCGCCGACCCTAAGGGGGCGCCAAAATTGTGTAGAAATAAATGAAAAAAAAAGGTAATTTTAATATGAATTATTGAATTATATACAGTCGAAGTTAAAAAATTAAACGGCTACAAAGATTTACACAAAATGATTTAATTGTTTCCTACATTAATTATGTGGCACACTACAGCAGTAAAAAAAAAAAGGTTACGGGATAGTGACCGTTAAAAAACGCCACCAGCCTTTTCAACTGAGAGGGAGCGTTTTTCAGCACGAATAACTATAGCCTATATATAAATGAGAGGGGGCTGGGGCGTAAAACTGATAGTTCGCTTCGGGCGCCGAAATGGGTAGCTACGCCTCTGATTTTAATCAACTAGATGATTTTTTAAAAAAAAAACCGCTGTGCAAAATATAATGCAACCGGTGTACATGAGGATGACAATTCAATTGTAATTATTAGGCACGTAAGTTCATTTTATTAAGCAAGCAAAGATTAGCAAATGTCTTAGTTTGCAAGCTCCAACCAACACAATGAAAATTTTAGCACAATTTCGACTCTTATTTTATAAGCCTATATAACGGGAAAAACTATCAAACGTCATACAGACACAAGGCAAGTCTTTTATTTGTAAACAACTGTTACGAAATTGAATAACCCCACAAAACCAAGTGATCTATTTAAATATTCAACATTAGAGCTTAATTGACGTTATATTGCTAAACTTATATGATTATTGACGACTTTACCTGCTTCATATCTATTCAAAAATAGTCTTTTCCCTTGTGGGTACACATGAAACCCAAATAATGAAATATCGCACACATTGGGGAAAAGATCAGGGCTTTAATCAACAAGCCACATTAAAGGTTTAATACATTTTTTTTTCAGCAAATACAAACACATAGCAAACATTAGATTCAAAACAAATTTTTAAAAGTATTTCTGCACTTATGATTTTTTTTATTATTTAATCACTACATAAACTATTACAATCTTGTTCATTATGTTTTGACGCACCGACATGTTAAAAACTGTTTACAATTGTTTCAATATTGTATGCAAAAGGTTTATCTGGGTTACTTCCCATTTACAAATTCAACAGCACAGGGGGTTAACCTATAACTTTGTTATACATTTAGTTAAAAATACCAAGACATGTGTATCTAATGAAACAACAAATACTTGTTTTATATTATTACGGATTATAATAAAATGCATACGTTTTTGTGTCACTTATTTATATTTATTTATGTTAAAATTATCATTTGACTGTAGTTTAAAAACAAAAAACCTGTTTACAATATTACATTTTTCATTTCTAAATAACAAATATCCTAAGATTTATATGATGGGGTTTATTCATAGGCTTATTGTTGTTAATGTTATCGTGCAATTAAGGCGAGATTTGAATATGAAGAAAATTCCATTAACTGTTTATACAATTGTTAAAAAAATATTATAATATTAAAAAAAAAAAAAAATAAATAAGGCGAGATTTGACTTTTACACCTTCCAGAGTCGGAGAAACATAATCTTGCGATCTCGTCCGTATGTCTCTTTGTGTGAATATGTGTGTCTGTAAACACGAAAACCTGAGTACCGTTACAGCTAGGTTGATGAAATTTCATATGTAAGTATAATATCAAATTTGTAGATCTGTATCAACTTTTCAGCGATTTCCGATAACCGGAAGTGGCACTTTTTCTACTTTGAATTGTTCAAAAGCCTATAACTTGAGTACTATTCTAGGTAGATAAATAAAATTTCACATGTAAGTAAAAGATCTACTTATCTGCCTTCTGTCAAAGTTTGAGTAATTTCCGCTGACCGGAAGTAGTAATTTACGCTATTTCCGATTTCTTTTTAAAAATGTGAATTTATAAAGTGCTAATAATATTCCGTACTATTATACACATCTTATTTAGCGTTCACTTGGTGCGCAATTCTTTTTTTTCAACGAGATTCTTTTCTATTTTAAAAAGTATAAGTAAAAATCATGTCTATATCCCGAGTTGCCAACACACCCCCCCCCCCCGTATTGTTATATAAGAATATTCGAGAAAGTTTAGGGGAAATCACTCCCGGTTTATTTATAATGCAAAAGAGTGACGTCACACCATCTGAACCCCCCCCCCCTCCCACTCATCACACCCCGTCACAAAATTACGGACCTCCCCCTCTGCCCTACGAATGTGACGTCATTTATGGACGACCCCCCCCCCCTCTTTACGTGGTGGATTTCTGTAGCTCTGTGTTGCACTTGACTAAGATTATACAGAGGTGTGCGAAAGATGAATGTCTGTGTCTTCATGACAGTATGCGTCGTCTTTGAAGTAGAAGCGTTGACGGCATTATCTGCAATTGCAGCTGACGGCTTCCCAATGCAATTATCCCCTGTCAAGTTACCCTATAGTATGATATATCCTCCTTATATCCTTTTACAGATGGTTCGTGTGAAATAAGACACCCGCGGCACCCCGAAGACAGAAAGTAAAATAAATAAATCAGGTAATTGACGAAGGGTAGAAACACTCCTAAAACATTGTTAGTCCCTTACCGTAGCACCAATCCTTAATCTAACCCTAAATATTACTTTATACTTTATTCTTAGGATTTGGTTTAGATTCAAGTTAGATTAGGGGCAATTTGTAATCGATATGTGGATAATGTTTTATTTCCGGTGGGCCGGGGGTAGGCACTGGTTTAAAAATATATTTTCAGGGTGGGGGAGGGGGGCGGTTGACGTGCCCCAGGCTATCCTCACACCTTTGAAGATATGCCTAAAGAAAACTCTGCATGCAGAGAAAGGTAAAAAAAAAAATTCTTTATTTTGAGAAGGGCAAAGGTATGTTAACGGTGGCATCAAAAACAGGTGGAGGGGCGTTAGAGTGTGGTCAGTACTTCCTTTTATTTCCTTGATTTTAACAAATCTTACTGACACTTTTAGTTTAGACGTAAACAAGTGAGCCCCCCCCCCCACCCACATACCACAAGAAGGTTTGTCCACATTTTCCGTGTATGCAAAGCGCAGTTTATTTTAGATAGGCATCAAACCTAGGGGTCGCGCTTAGTCGGGCTAAAACCGAAAAGACCGTTAGTTCGAACCCACGGGCAGATGAGGTTCGATAGCGGGGAACATCAAAACTCCAACATAAAAATAAAAACGGTTGCCTTGTAAATTGTTCTTGGATGAACAAATGGTATGGAAGCAAATATAGAAAGAAAAGCCGGCGGAAATCAGAGACAGCGGCTTATATGGTGCATAACACGTGACACGTAACATTTAATTGTGTTGGATGAAATCCCTTGAAAAAAATTACAATTAAGAATGAATAAGAAGAAATGTTTTCAACACCAGATTTAGTCCGCCCCCCCCCCCCCCCCCAAAAGAGCGTGAGATGGTGTCTATAGAGTAAAGATAATCCAACCGCAGCTACAGTATTATTTTTGCAAAACAACCATCAAATAAAAAATGCAAGAAAATCTATTTATTTTTAACTATTAAAAAATTGATTATGGGATTATGGTCGGCTGTGGGCCCCTAAAAGGCGTGTTTCTCCCCCCCCCCCCCCCACCGTATTGCGGGGTCTGGCGGCA